TTGTGGCTTGTGTGGCTATGGCATAACAATAATTGTGGCTTGTGTGGCTATGGCAGAACAATAATTGTGGCTTGTGTGGCTATGGCATAACAATAATTGTGGCTTGTGTGGCTGTGCCATTATTGTTTTTGTGGCTTGTGTGGCTATGGCATGATAATTGTGGCGCAGGTGGCTGCTGCTGGACTCGGAAGACCCCGCAGACCAGCTGCAGTGGCTGGTCTACGAGCTGCAGGCCGCCGAACTCAACAAGGAAAAAGTCCACATCATCGGCCACATACCACCGGGCTACCATGACTGTCTTAAGGTCTGGAGCCGCAACTTCTATACCATCGTCAACAGGTACCATGGGGTGATAGGTAGCTACCGTGACTAGGGGGTGATAGGTAGCTATACCATCGTCAACAGGTACCATGGGTATGAACTGGTGAGGAATGTGGCGAGGTATGAACTGGTGAGGAATGTGGCGAGGTATGAACTGGCGAGGAATGTGGCGAGGTATGAACTGGTGAGGTATGAACTTCTGTAATAACAAGAACTGGTGATCCATGTGGCGAGGTATGAACTGGTGAGGGATGTGGCGAGGTATGAACTGGTGAGGTATGAACTTCTGTAATAACGAAAACTGGTGAGGAATGTCGCGAGGTATGAACTGGTGGGGGATGTGGCGAGGTATGAACTTCTGTAATAACATGAACTGGTGAGGAATGTGGCTAGGTATGAAGTGGTGAGGTATGAACTTCTGTAATAATAAGAACTGGTGAGGAATGTAGCCAGGTATGTGGCGAGGTATGAACTTCTGTAATAACATGAACTGGTGAGGAATGTGGCGAGGTATGAACTTCTGCAATAATAAGAACTGGTGAGGAATGTGGCGAGGTATGAACTTCTGTAATAATAAGAACTGGTGAGGGATGTGGCCAGGTATGTGGCGAGGTATGAACTGGTGAGGAATGTNTAGTAATGAAGCCTTACCTTAGCGGGATAATGAAGCCTAACCCTCAGTCTGTCTCTTATACACATCTACTGTCTTAAGGTCTGGAGCCGCAACTTCTATACCATCGTCAACAGGTACCATGGGGTGATAGGTAGCTACCGTGACTAGGGGGTGATAGGTAGCTATACCATCGTCAACAGGTACCATGGGGTGATAGGTAGCTACCATGACTAGGAGGTGATAGGTGGCTACCGTAACTAGGGGGTGATAGGTAGCTACCGTGACTAGGAGATGATAGGTGGCTACCGTGACTAGGGGGCGATAGGTAGCTACCATGACGCTAGATGATGCTAGCTAGGATGATGATACTAGTACAGTAGACGTTACTAGCTAGTAGGTGTTGTTCATCACCTAGTTTCTGTACTCTGAAGGATGGTCAGAAGCTTGATCTGTCCAATGAGTATCGACATAATAAGTGGGTCATTGCTATAATATAATAATAATATTTATGTAATATTGGGGATTAGCGTCTCAGACATTCTCGAAATTCAAATGTCCAGCTGCGGGTTTCGAACTCGCAACTCAATGCGCTAATCTTTGTAATTTTAACTACTCGGACCAGAGTTAAAATGGCAAACTGTTACCAATCTACAATTTATCTAAAAAGCAGATACTCTCATTGTAGGTAATTATAATGTAAACTATTGATTTGTAGTGCGTGACTCGGGTCATAGTACGGTAGTACTTTTCTGCGTCCCTCGGCACATTGGTACCTTGGGACCGTATCAGTTATTATCATCAAGCTTAACTTATTCGTGGGTTTGTTATCTCTTATTGATACTAAAAGTTTATTGCTGCATATATCATGTGAAGCTTTAGGGTCCAATTGTCCATGCACTGCAGGCTTGTAACGTTGCTTTCGATTATTAAGAAATATTTACAACTCTAACCACCGTACAGTATATACTGTCTCACGTTAACGACCGTACATTATATACTGCTTCACGTTAACTACCGTACAGTATATACTTCCTAACGTTAACGACCGTACAAATACTATTCGTACCTCACCTAATGACCTCGTAACTAGACGTGCCCGTACCTCGTAACTAGACGTGCCCGTACCTCGTAACTAGACGTGCCCGTACCTCGTAACTAGACGTACCAGTACCCCGTAACTAGACGTACACTTACCCTCAGATACGAGGACACAATAACGGCCCAGTTCTACGGTCACACGCACTACGACGAGTTTGAACTTTTCTACGACCCGTTCCGACGTTACCGCGTCACGAACGTCGCGTTCATCGCCCCGTCCCAGACGTCTTATTACGCCATGAACCCGGGCTACAGGGTCTACAAAGTCCAGGCTCAGTTCGAGGGCTCAGAAAAGGTTCAATTCTTGATGTTTTTTGTTTTTTTTTTTTAGGGTTTATTTGGTCAAGTTAAGGCTTAGTTTAGTGCCTTGTTAGAGGTTCAATTCTTTAAGTTTCTATGGTTTTTCGGGTTTTATTCGGTCAAGTTAAGGCTTAATTTGGTGCCTTGTTAAAGGTTTAATCCTCGAATACGTGACTTTTTGGGGTTTTTAATTTATTTTGGTTCACCTCTTGAGATCTTCTATATTTTGGTTGAGCTTTTGAGTTCTTTATAAAAAAGAAGACTCAATTTGGAGCCTCTAAAAAGGTTTAATTTTTCTATATCCTTCTATTCGGAAGGAAGGAGGCTTGGTTTCAAAATCCCCGTTTGGGTTTGAAGAATTCATTTTGGTTGAACTGCCAGAGAACCACTTTATTTCTCTCGTCGAATGTTAGGGCAAAGTTCGTGGCAGGTGTAAAAAGTTCAATCAAATAAATTTCCTACGGTTTTAAGTTTCTCAGCTTCATTTTGGGGTTTTGAAATAAAAATCTTCTGGTATTTAAGACTTTACGGAATTTCGGTTCACTTGAGAGCTTCGTTGTTGCTGGTTCTTCTTTTTCCGTTTATTTTCTAATATTCTTTCTTACTCTTTTCTTACTGCCAGTTGCTTGCTGGCTGTAAATAAGTTAAATCTTACACAAAAATTAATTTGTCGGGTTTCATTAAGTCAGTTTATCAGTTATATTCACCGAAAATTATCTATGTGTAAATAGACTAAATTGCATCTTATATGCCTATTTGATGGAGTTTTAGTCATCGCTTTTTTAGGTTATTCACTTCGTTAGGTTTTAATTTCTAATTGAGTTATTAGCAATATCTTATTATCATTAATCATTGGACAAGGTTCTCGCTTGCTATTATCATGCGCTCTATTTCGTCCTTGGGATGAAATTTTGGTCTTAAATTCTGAACAAATTTACTGGATTTGGAATTCGTGACACAGCTAATGGACTAAATGGACCTAATAGACGATCTAATATACCTTCGACAACAATGGACCAAACGTACGATCTAATGGACCAAATGAGCTTAATGGATGACCACCTGATGGATCAGATGGACCCAATGGACGACCTGATGGACCAAATTGACCCAATGGAAGACTTGAGTGCTCACGTGACTTACTTTTATAGTCTCTTGAAGAATCTTCACATGGGCCGACAGGGACGTATAAATAAACATATATTTTTTTTTACTATTTTTTGAGTAAGAGTTTCCTACGCAGGCGCTGGATTTAAATTGAACAGCTATTCGAATGCGTGTGTGTTTTCATGTAACATTCTACATCATGCCTTCCTTGCCCCTTTCTCCAACGTGGTGCACGTAGATACGAGTCTACAATTACGGGCCAGTTCTTCGGGCACACACACTACGACGAATTCGAGGTATTCTACGACGACGTCGACTTACGTCCTGCGAGCGTCGCTTACGTCGCGCCTTCCGTTACGACTTACGACGCACTTAACCCTGGCTATCGTATCTACTACATCGAGCGGCCTCAGGACAGCCTGCACGTGAGTCGCCACGTGGATACGTGAGTTGTCACGTGGATACGTGAGTCGCCACGTGGATACGTGAGTCGTCTCACGGATACGTGAGTCGCCACGTGGATACGTGAGTCGCTACGTGGAAACGTGAGTCGCCACGTGGATACGTGAGTCGTCATGTGGATACGTGAATCGACACGTGGATAAGTGAGTCGCCACGTGGATACGTGAGTCGCCACGGGGATACGTGAGTCGCCACGTGATACGTGAGTCGTCATGTGGATACGTGAGTCGCCACGTGGATACGTGAGTCGCCACGTGGATACGTGAGTCGCCACGTGGATACGTGAGTCGCCTCTGCGATGGATAAGTGAGTGACTATTCACTGGATAAGCGAGTGGCTGCTTACGGTGGATTAGTGAATGGCTGCTCACGGTGGATACGTGAATTGGGTTGCGTGCACTACAGGAGGTTATACACGTACAATACAGCGAAGTTTCCATACATTGTTGTATGGAGAAACTAATGCAGGTATCGGTGTGATAATTCCTGGTTTCGGGAGGAATGAAAAGGTTTTGTAATAAGGAGAGGTATTACAGTTCTTCATTACAGTTCTGATGGTAATGGTTTATGGTTCTTGTGGTATACTCTTACTTTATTGTATTTTTTTTCTATCCTTTGTTCAATCAGTTTTTTATATTGCATGCCAGGTGTCTATTGATTTGGGTACTTCGTTTTTGGGGCTCTGATTAATTTCAATAGTATGATTATATATTAATAAGTTGATTATATGATGATTTTTTTTCCACCCTCACAATCATTACCCTCGTTATCATTCGCCCTCATAATTATGCACTTTCGTAATTATGACCTAACCTCCCTCATAAGTTATCATCCTCATTGCTATCCACTCGCGCAATTATCCATGCTCACTATCACCCACTTTCATAATCACCCCATCCTGATGATCATCTACCCTCCCCTCACAATCACCCCCCACACCCTCATCCTCACAATCACCCCCACACCCTCACAATGATCACCATCCTCACAATCACCCCCACACCCTCACAATCACCATCTATCCTGATTCCGGACATGATTACACCCTCACAATAATCACCATCCACCCTGACTGCCGGCATCCACCCTCACAATAATCACCATCCACCCTCACAATGATCACTATCCGCCCTGACTCCGGACATCCACCCTCACAATGATCACCATCCGCCCTCACAATGATCACCATCCACCCTCTCAATAATCACCACCCACCCTCACAATCACCCCCACACCCTCACAATCACCATCCACCCTGATTCCGGACATGATTCCACCCTCATAATCATCATAATGATCACTATCCACCCTGACTCCGGACATGCACCGTGCAGCGCGTGGTGGACCTGGAGACGTGGATCATGGACATGGATGAGGCCAACCTCCCCCGCAACGCGCTGCGGGACCCGCTGTGGTACCGCCTGTACTCGGCCCGCACCGCGTACGAGATGCGGTCCCTGCTACCCGCAGACTGGGACAACCTCGTTTACAGGATGGTGGAGGACACACAGCTCTTTGACCTCTTTTACAGGTATACTGGGGGCAGCTACAGGTACTGGGGCATCTACAGGTACTGGGGGCATCTACAGGTATCTGAGGCATCTTCTTCAGGTATATACTGCTCCTTGATATATTTCACATGTACTGGCTTCCTTGTAATTGTCATAGTAAAACAAGCTCTACGTATGACCTCCATCCCCCAGGCACTACTGGAAGAACTTTCCTCGCTTCCTCCTATTCCCTAACCCCCTAACCCCTGCCCTCCCCCCAGGCACTACTGGAAGAACTCGCCCCGGCGGCCGCCCTGCGACGCGGACTGCAAGAAGCGGCTGCTGTGCGACCTCAAGTCCGGACGCAGCAACGACCGCCACAAGACCTGCGCCGCCGTCCATGAGAGGGTCGAGGCCCAGGAGCGGTCCCAGTGGCGGTCCTGGCTCTTCTCGGGCCTCACACTCACGTACGACTGGGTCAAGGGGGCGCTCTGGTGGGGCTAGACTGGGACAAGCGGGCGCTCTGGTGGGGCTAGACTGGGACAAGGGGGCGCTCTGGTGGGGCTAGACTCGGTCAAGGGGGCGCTCTGGTGGGGCTAGACTCGGTCAAGGGGGCGCTCTGGTGGGGCTAGACTCGGTCAAAGGGGCGCTCTGGTGGGGCTAGACTGGGTCAAGGGGGCGCTCTGGTGGGGGCTAGACTGGGTCGAGGGGGCGCTCTGGTGGGGCTAGACCCGCGGGGTTTAAAAGATATCCTTACGGACTATAGTTGTTCTTTTGGGGTTGGGGGTTGAGAGTGAGGGGTTGGAGATAGAGAGGGAAGCAGGGATTGGGGGTAGAGAGGGAAGCAGGTGTTGAAGGTTGAGAGGGAAGCAGGGGTTGTGGGTAGAGGGGGAAGAGTTTCCCTCGATTAATGGGGTTGGGGTTAGACCCTCAGTAAGGGATGTTTATCTCTCGGGTCCATTTACCAGTTCTCGTTGAGGGCTCAAGCGGGATTTGAAATAGCCACGCATTATATATACCATTGATGCATGTCTGTTATGTTATGTGTATATTAATTTATTTACTAAACACTCATGAAACCAATCAATATGTTGATTATAGTTCACATATGCTGACATCATTCGCTTGTTGGGGGATGGTATTTTGACCGATTATATGTACACTCAAAAAATATAACTCGGTACTCACTGCAGTGAGTGACAGAGAGCGCATTTTCTCGTCGATTAAAACGTGGTCACGGACGGACGGAACGACGGACATGGCGATCATAATAGTGGATTTTTTTCCATAAATGAGAAAATGCGCTAAAAATGAGCGATATATTGTCCAAGTAGCTATTCATTCTTGCCTTTGTCTGGTTCAAGTAATTAATTGAGTAATTTAATTAAATTAATAAGTTTAATTAAAGTAATTGACCCAGTTCAGTCCAGCAATATGGCGTATCAGTGCTACGTCTGTGCCGTGGGTAATGAAGTGTGTCACTATATGGGCAACATTACCCTAGCATTTATCTGAGTGATTATAGAGCTTCCGTAACATAAATACAGAGAAAAACCGCGAGCTCTTAAGTTTTAATTTATGCCATTTGTAAAATTGTTGAATGTGTGTAGTATTTTTTGTATATTACAACTATTTAATTGTATTGTTCCTCATTCTATTCATTTCCTCTAATTGAATTTAATGTAGTGAAAGTTTTTGTGTATTTCATTTTTTTTTGTTGATCTATGTAGAATTTCCTTCATTTGTATGACCGTGGAGTCTTTTGTTTATTGTTTTTGTTTTGTTTGTAGTTTTCGAAATTTTTATTTTAATATTTTCTACAATTTTTTGTTCATTTACCCCGTTATTTTACTTGGTATTTTGAGGAGATGAGCGACGAATTTGATGTTCACAGCCTACAACAATTATTATATTGCACGAACAATATTATATGAGAAACAAGCAGGTTCACTCGTGATATAATTCGCATACTTTGATATTAAATAAGATACATAAACATTTTACGACAGACGCACAACACGAACTTGAACGAATTAATTTAAAAATTAATGCAAAAAATTACCAATACGTAGTGAGAAGTGTGACTTACAAGGACTTACCCTCTGTTTACCCTCATTGGACAATTAGTAACTTACCTAAGAAAGGAGGTCGACTTTACCCTCTGTTTACCCTCACTGGACAATTAGTAACTTACCTAAGACAGGAGGTGGACTTTACCCTCTGTTTACCCTCACTGGACAATTAGTAACTTACCTAAGACAGGAGGTGGACTTTACCCTCTGTTTACCCTCACTGGACAATTAGTAACTTACCTAAGACAGGAGGTGGACTTTACCCTCTGTTTACCCTCGCTGGACAATTAGTAACTTACCTAAGACAGGAGGACTTTACCCTCTGTTTACCCTCACTGGACAATTAGTAACTTACCTAAGACAGGAGGTGGACTTTACCCTCTGTTTACCCTCGCTGGACAATTAGTAACTTACCTAAGACAGGAGGACTTTACCCTCTGTTTACCCTCACTGGACAATTAGTAACTTACCTAAGACAGGAGGTGGACTTTACCCTCTGTTTACCCTCGCTGGACAATTAGTAACTTACCTAAGACAGGAGGACTTTACCCTCTGTTTACCCTCACTGGACAATTAGTAACTTACCTAAGACAGGAGGTCGACTTTACCCTCTGTTTACCCTCGCTGGACAATTAGTAACTTACCTAAGACAGGAGGACTTTACCCTCTGTTTACCCTCACTGGACAATTAGTAACTTACCTAAGACAGGAGGACGACTTTACCCTCTGTTTACCCTCGCTGGACAATTAGTAACTTACCTAAGACAGGAGGACTTTACCCTCAGTTTACCCTCACTGGACAATTAGTAACTTACCTAAGACAGGAGGACTTTACCCTCTGTTTACCCTCACTGGACAATTAGTAACTTACCTAAGACAGGAGGTGGACTTTACCCTCTGTTTACCCTCGCTGCGACGCGCTTTTCGTGACGACACAAAAGGTACGGTTTTTTACCGCTGCTTATCTTCCGTTTTTTATTATTTTTTATTATAAAAATATTTTTTATATTCCTGTCTAATTTAATCAACTACATCCATCTGTTCGTGATTATTACTTTTTTCTTTTTAAATTGACCACTAAACTGCATTGTTTCATGTAGTTAACTTTATTTTTTTACGCCTTGTTTTACATAATTAAGTTCTCTTGTTTTATATTTCGTTCACATAGTTTTAATGTAGATGTTTTATTCTAGATTTTTCCACATCATTCACGGGAAATAACTTTTAAAGAGAAACAGTTTCGTAGCCATCTTGAAGATTCAAAGTTAAGCTTTTCCGTATTATATTAGCGGGTAGTTTGAACACTCATTATTCGCATTGTTCTTTGTACTTTTATATACTCATAGTATTGTGCTGTTTAGTCTTACTACTAATAGATTTTGTACTAATAAATAATGTGGTGTTAAGCTAACACTTCTATTCTATTAATACTATTTCTACTATTCAATATCTTTACTGACTTGTGCTAATGTTTCACTATCTGGTAGATCCCTGGGCACGCTCTTCGTGATGCTGTAGCTTTGTTACTGCATCTACTTCTACATCTGCTCCTGCGATGGAAAATCTACATCTACTCCTGCATTGAAAAATCTACATCTACTCCTGCATTGAAAAATCTACATCTACTCCTGCATTGAAAAATCTACATCTACTCCTGCATTGAAAAATCTACAGCTACTCCTGCATTGAAAAATCTACATCTACTCCTGCATTGAAGATTCTACTCTCACTGCAGCTCAATTATTCAAGTTTATTGAATGTTTTCAATTTAAAACGAAATTAGATGAAGTCGAAAGTTTGATATGACGAATTTGGGTATTTTTGTTCATGAAAATCAATGAAATTTTTGCAGAATTTCTTCTATGGTAAAATGTCAAAGAAATAACAATCGTAAAAATTTAAAATATCACAACTTTGTTGTCCATGAAATCGTCTGCTTGATCAATTTTAAGAAAGATTATTAGAAGTTATTCTTAAATAATGATTACTGCTTAAGGTGACAGAATCAATTATTATATACAATTCGTTTTCTGAGTGATGCATTGATAAGAACGCGAGCGATATGAACTTTTTATTTCAAGTGATTTTTTAGGCGCTTAAATTCCTCCTGTGTTTCTATTATTGTGACGTTTTTTTTATGTCGTCAAAATGATATTAAGAGCAATAATGAACCTAAACAAATTTTGAAAAGATATGCCAGTCGATGATAAAGGATATGTGAAACCAAGCCCAACTGAAGTGCATTTAGCCTGATAATTATTGTTTTTATGTCAATATTCCCGTGTAGTTGTTATTTTGAACTTGTTTTATATTAGTCAAAGCAAATATTGCAATAATTGAAGCTATATTATTGAACCCAATCTATTCTAGGTTTAAAATCTACATTATACCGCTGCATTTGGAAAATTTCACGCAGCGCATTTTTTTTTCAGTAAAAAAGATTCGTTGCATGAAATTCAGTTTTTTTTTCTTTTTTGTATTGCATTCAAGATTTTGTTGGAGGAGTTCTAGTTCATTACACTAAGTAAGAAGAAACTAGTAGGAAATGCAGGAAGCAGTTAAACTAAATAGGTTCTGTGTTTGGTTGCGAGAACATCGTGGTTCTTGACAACAACAACAGGTTCTGAACTCCAAATCTCATTTTTTTGGGGTCGCGCGCAACTATGAATTGAGGATCGTTCGTAAATTGCCGATAACCTCTGAAGTAGGAACTTTGTCCCTATTAATACTTGTAAGGAATTGTACTGCAAAATGTGTTATATTATTAACAGTTATTATTATACCTCTCATTAACAGTTATTTCAATGGTAGCTTTAAGAGAAAAACTTCGCAGGTTTTTGTTCTAGCCCTCCTGATCGAGACGCTCGTTAATATTAATTCAAAATCACGATTTTTAATCTTTTTTCTTGAATGATATTACATAATGATGGTAAGATTTGTCATTATTCTGTCATTAATTAATTAATGGCATTATTCTCTATGTCACGACACCTACGTCGCAAGAAATCCACATGATGTTCAATGATAGTGAGCAATGATGATCTTTTTTTTATTTACTTGAATGATCTTTTTTGCGCATTTTCTGTTATGAAAAAAAAAACGCTATTGAGCTCGTCATGTCCGTTCGTCCGTGACTTCACGGACGGACGGACGAGAAAATGCGTTGTCACTCACTGCAGTGAGTACTGATTTATATTTTTTTCTTGTGCTATCATTTGACAATGAATTAACTGTTGTCTATTGTGCACAATTATTACTCACTTTTTACGATTACTAAACCGCCCATCATTTGCCATATTGTTTACTATTTCTGACTGTATTTTGCATAGAAATTTAAAATTTTAGGTCGAGTATTTGATTAACATATTTTTGAGTTAGGTAAAGCTAGTAACGTTTACTTCAAAGTCAATCTTGTCACTCTGCAGCTATTTGATCCTATTTTGCTTTAGTCTCGCTCTATTTCTTCATCTTTATTATTTTGAAGTGCTTGCTGCAAACGCATTCTAATTTGCGGATGAAAGTAGACTATATCCTACTCATGAAATTGCTGTAATTGCGAAAGTTATATTATTTCACTCGCTATTTTCCAATGGCTCTTTAAGTAACGGTTGCGATATAATAAATCTTAGTGGAAATAAAATTAGATTATCTAATAAGATATAATATGATGATTGATATGACTACGCATATATTGTGCGTGAGGCGTACAGTAAATGTATTATAAATATTATAAAAATAACATGCAATTTGATCGATAAACGCAGCCAATGTAACATTTTGTGAGAGGAATAGGGAGAGGTAAAACGTTGGTTTCATTTGAACAAATGTAATTAGTTTCATGGAAAAAATAGTTCATGAATATATTTATTGCACATTTGAATAGAATATTCTTCCAGTGTTACATAAAATTATTTTCGAATTTGACCTGCGCAGGATTCATGTACGAAAATATTAGCCTAGTTCAGAGGAGAGAGAAAGGAAGTTCAAATTTCTATATGTAATTAAATTTGTAATTTACACCTACTTTTTGAATATAAATTGCTGCCTGTAACTTGAGATTACTTTAGGAATTGAAGTTTGAAGATCATTCTGAATACCGCGCCTAATGACTATATAATTATACATATAAACAATTACAATAATATCGCTTCTTTTACGTCCTACTGCACGGAACATCGCTAGCTTTCGCTACTAGTGCCCCTATCATCCCTAGTAAATTTGTGATTTCGAAAAAAGATCTAATGAGAAGACAAACAAGAAAATGTTATTGCAACTCCTTAATTGAAGGCGTTATAATATATATAACTACTTAGTCTTCGCATTGGTCGATTTGGCTGCTGCCACATTTGAGTATATAACATTAATTCCCATCATGAATACAAAACCATCAATGCTTTAAACGTTTGCTGGACAAATTCATGAGCTAATTTACTTGAACATTTCTTAAAGCAAGTCAGAAACATCAACCTCATATTGAGGATTCAAGCGTATTAATTTAATGCGAGGATTCTTTCACTGGAGATCCTACTCATCTGTCAACATTTAAAATTTTAAACATAAAAATTAAACTGAATATACAAACGTAAAATGTTCACAATTTCACGTGTGGAACACATCCAGAAATATACTGAAGACATAGGAGAAAAAATAGATAAATAATGCCAGCAAGGGGAGGCGGTTGTCGGTACAAGAATAGTGACAAAAAAAATATCAGTCGTTATATTCGGTAAAAATTACAAGTCTAAGACTAGAGCTAAAAATATTTATACTCTATATATACACGGTGCACTTGATGCGAGTTACAGTCCGCTTGGGCTGGGATTGCAGATCTATACTTTACTACCCTTCCTCCTATTCCATTTTTATGCAATGGAAGTCTAAATCCTTCAGTCCTGTCATTTTTTATATTCACCGAAACTTACGTTCGTTCTAAACGAACAATGAATTGTGAAGATGGCACATTCGCCTCTTTAGAGGTTGCTAAGGAATTGCTTAAATGACTACATCTTTTATCCTCACCTACCGAAATCATGACTTTCAAACAAAATGAAAAATCATGACCCCCCCCCCCCCATTTTCAAAATCGTTAGGTACTTAAATACCTTCCCTCTTTTACAATAAACGCTTTCCTTGTAAGCCGAACTACACACGTCACTAATTACAATGTATTGGTATTTATTTTAATTACCAGCGAATAGTTTGGTATGCTGCCCAGCATTGTGATGCATGACCACTCGTTCACTAGGTCGAATGTTGACTTGAATATTATCACTAGTTACTAGTGGTAATATTACTACTAGCTACTCAACTAGTAGTAACATTACCTCTGGTCTACCTACCAGGGGTCTCGGTTTACTCACGCTGTCGCCTCACAATGGACATCCCTGGTACTACCACTGCCGCAACTACTGCCACTAGTCGCGAATAGACCCTTCCAGTGGTGGCAGGCACTACCACTAGCCATTTTATGGAGAGTGTTGGTGCTGAACGGTCTGATGAACATGGAGGAGTGGAGCTGACTGCTCCAGTCGTTGGTCTGGAGCGGCGTGGAGTACTGGCGCTGACAGGTCTTGTTGTAGACCGGCAGCAGTTCGTTGGCTTCACTCGATATGGCCTGCGTGACCGAATACAATACAAATCAATCGTGTAATTTATGTAGCGATTATGTACTTATATAATTAATATGAAATGGTGAGAGTAATTGTGATAAATATATATGACTAGCAGGGAAACATTATGGAATAGGAATAAATGACAAAAGGTAATGTCCTCAAAACACGCCATCTTGCGGCACATCTTAGTACACATTATATCGCAGTCCCATTATCGCAATTACCTTGCCCATTATCCCCACTACCTTTTAGTAGACCCATTAGTCCCTTTACATTGAGGCATAACACGGCGTCAGTGCAATAGCTGCCGACTCTGGTGAGTCTGAGGTCACCTGGGAGTTCTGCGCGTAAACCACTTACTATTAAGTAGACCATTAGACCAATTACCTCGAAGTTGACCATTTTCCCCATCAGCCCCATTACCTCAAGGTAGACCAGTATACGAATTAGCCCTATTACCTGGAGGTAGACCATTAGACCCATTAGCCCCATTACCTCAAGGTAGACCATTAGACCCATTAGCCCCATTACCTCAAGGTAGACCATTAGCCTCATTGCCTCAAGGTAGACCATTAGACCCATTACCTTGAGGTGTACCCTATAGTCCCCTTTACCTCATGGTAGACCATTAGACCCATTACCTCACCGTAGACCATTAGCTCCATTACCTTGAGGTATATAAGAGCATCAGTGCCGTAGCCGTCGACGCTGGTGAGGCTGAGGTCGCCCTGGAAGTACCGCGCGTAGAGGCGGGAGAGAGGGAGGCCGTAGCCGTACCCTGCGAGGGGGGGCGTGTGGGTGCCCCCTGTAGCGTGGGGGACTTGGGGGGCAGTAGAGTACATGTAGTTGAAGAGCAGGTCCATCTGGCTGCGGGGGATGCCGCCCCCCTGGTCTGATAACTGCCAATGCAAATAAGTTATTAATAACGGACTAGTTATATAAACGGAAAAATTAAATTGATAATGACCTTCTTATTACCTGATTGTTAACGGACTACTTATATAGAAACAAGTAAACTGCGATTGAGAAAAAACAAGGACGAGGATCAAAATAGCGGAAAAGATGCAAACGTTCTGGTTATCGAGCGATCGTTCGATGCCTTGCTTAACGGACTAGTTATATAAACGGAAGTATATATAACGTCTATATATCCACCATGAGAACGAGTCCCATTCCCAGTTTAACATAGAGGAGGCATCTAGAGTAAACTTTAATACCAGGGTTCGTACCGATATTTAGAAAAAAATTCCATTACTTTTCCATGACTCTCCATGACCATCAATATAATTTTCCAAGACTCGTATACACGACAGGTTTAGCATGACTGAAAGACTAACCGTGCATATTCTATCATCTTCTACAGTTGATAAATAGCAAACGTGTAAATTCATAGCTCTTCAAAGGTGGCATGGCTCTTCAAAGCTGCTTTCCCCATATTTGACACATCGAAGTCTTTCGAGCACAATGCCATACCTTCATGCTTTGGATGGCGAGCAAGCCAGTCACGATAAGCTTCTATTCTTAAACACAAGTCATGAAATTTACACTTTTCAGGCATGGCCATGTAGAAATTGCATGCTGAAGATGAAACGCTGCCACTGCAGATCAAAAAGTTGTCCAATACAATTGAGCTCGGTGACCGAGCTCACGTGATTGGAGAACCAATCAGAACGCAGGAAACGAGAGACTGCACAAACAGTTTAACACACGCAGCACAGGAGAACACTTTTTTTCTTTTATTTGCAAATTCCATGACTTTCCATAACCTGAAATGAAATTCATTGACTTTCCAGGCCTGGAAAATGAAAAATCAGATTCCATGACTTTCCAGGTTTTCCATGACCGATACGAACCTAGTAATACAGAAAATTCACAGACTAGACACAATTCAGAACAAATAACCTACTTTGTGACCACTTTAATGCACATACATAAAGAAGACACCACGACACAGATGTCCCACCTTAATGCAGAGGTCCTCGCGCCCCTTGACGAGCAGCACCTGCACGGGGGGCAGGTCTCCCTCCGGCGTGTGGTGCTCAACCACCGCGCGCATGGCGTTCTTGAAGAGCTCGAAGAGCATGTGGTACAGGTGAGAGGGTACGTAGGGTACGGTGACTCGCAGTTCAGGGCACGCCATGTAGTACTGGTACTGCAGTACCCACCATTGTGCTGCAGTACACGCAGTTCAGGACACGCCATGTAGTACTGGTACTGCAGTACCTACCATTGTGCTGCAGTACCCACCATTGTGCTGCAGTACCCACCATTGTGCTGCAGTACCCACCATTGTGCTGCAGTACACGCAGTTCAGGACACGCCATGTAGTACTGGTCGCACAGGAAGCGCGCGTTGCTGTACGCGTCCTCCACGACGCGCAGGATGTCGCAGTTCGGGTCAATGCAGCCGATGTGGTCCCCGCGGTCCCGCACCTCTGAGCCGAACAACAGCGCTGCGGGATGGTGTTTGGTGTTAATATTCAGTACAAGGGGATAATACTAAGCAGCAATACTAGGTAACAATACTAGGTGATAAATAACGATTCTATTCAATGATACTGAGTGACAAAACAAGGTAATAAGATAACGATTCTATTCCACAATACTAGGTGACAATACTTCAACGTAACGATGCTAAGTAACAATGCCGAAGAGCAGCGCTGCAGGATCGCGTCTGTATTGAATACAATGTGATGATATTACGAAACAATACTACGCAAAAGTGCTAGATAACAATACTACGTTATAATAAAGTGTGAGAACTGGTTGATGAGCATGCGTATGGAAATACGGCTTATATAAATATTAATCACTCACTGTGCTGGTTGATGAGCATGCGTATGGAAATACGGCTCATGTAGAAGCGGTCGAGGAAATATTGGATGTTGGCTTCAGTGTTGGCGTTGACGTTGGCAACCTCTTTGAGCTCCATAATGCCTGCTGCCGTCATCATTACGACGTCACGATGGCGGTCACGAATACGAATCAGCGCCTCGGTGAACCTGCCGTGTTGAGTACGAATATTAAAAACTGTAGCGTTCAGTATGAGTATTAAAGAAATATAGCGCAAAGTATGAGTAGTAAAGACATATAGCGTCAAGTACAAACATAAGAGATGAACACAGTTTTCACAGTTTAATCCTATTGGAGATATATTAACACATCAAGGCAGTTGAGTACCTAAAATGTTTAAATGTTCTAAAACATTTGTTCTACGAAATAAAATGTTATTCGAAAATGTTTAAACAGTTCACACGTAGTCATGAAACGCTTTTTCGTACTGTAATATGAATGTTTCAAGGACTACTACACACAGGACATGCATAGCCTATGTCCAGCCTCTGCTAGCAGAGGCGATCGCCTACACTATGAAAATGCTGTTGTTTTAGTGGCATCAACAAATGATATGCNACTCCATTTAAATATTTTTTTTATCAGTGTATGAAGGCAGGAAAATGGTACCTACTTTGCTTAGTACAAAATTTTGAACTTCAAAACTGGCAAAAAGTCTATGGTTCTGACCAAGGACTACTACACACATTGTAATACTATTGTATGAAACAATTATGGGCATATCATTTGTTGATGCCACTAAAACACCAGCATTTTAATAGTGTAGGCGATCGCCTCTGCTAGCAGAGGCTGGACATAGGCTATGCATGTCCTGTGTGTAGTAGTCCTTGGAATGTTTACAATTTCTTAAATTAATGTCACCCATATTCCATATCATACACTTACCCGCCACCCGCCACTCACTCTCCCGCCAGCCAGACACCCTTCACCCACTCACCCGCGAGCCAGCCACCCTTCACCCACTCACCCTTCACCCACTCACCCTTCACCCACTCACCCTTCACCCACTCACCCTTCACCCACTAACCCTTCACCCTTCACCCACTAACCCTTCACCCTTCACCCACTCACCCGTCCTTATCATCGTCATGTTCGAACTGCGTGAGCTCCAGGAAAGACTGTCTGTACATGTCCCTGACGGCGACCAGGCTGGGCATGTGCGTCAGGTTCTCAGGCAGAAGACGGAACTCCTTCATGATGTTAGCCAACCGCACCGGCAGCTCCTGACGCAGGAACTGGAATGATGCTTCCTTGCTGGCTGTGCGGCCTGGAATGCGGGTAGCGGGGTTAAGAACGAATTAGATAGAACATAAAGAACGATTTAGATAAGTTGTTCTGGAATGCACGTGAAGAACTAGTTAGATAAGGTCTGGAATGCACGTGAGGAAATAGTTAGATAAGAAGCTAGATCTGGAATGCACGTGAAGAACGAGTTAGATAAGAAGATATGGAATGCACGTGAAGAACGAGTTAGATAAGAAGGTCTGGAATGCACGTGAAGAACGAGTTAGATAAGAAGATATGGAATGCACGTGAAGAACGAGTTAGATAAGAAGATATGGAATGCACGTGAAGAACGCATCAGATAAGAAAGTCTGGAATGCAGTTTGATGTTTTGGTAGGAATGGAGGTTATGGTAATGAAGACGGTGTTAATAGAGCGATGCACCGCTGGGAATATGGATTAGAAAGGAATGAAGTACGTGGAACGTGGGTAGGTAGAGCAGTAACTAACGGGAATGATGGTCGGTAATCGAAAGCAATAATAGGAATGATTGAGTTAAAATACGCTACTAGAAATTAAGGCGCGATGGGATGGTAATACAGGGAATGAGAGTTGTTATAAACGATGCACGACTGGGAATAGGGAAGTGGAATAGGAATGAGTCGGAATTGAAAACGATAATTGACTTTGTAGCAGTAGCACTGTTACAAAATTGTTCTAGCGCAACGGAGCATAGCTTTAGGGAATTGTGATGTCTTGTTCGTCCACAGTGCAGCAGCGACTCTCTTTCACCTGGGAATATTGTTAATAAAAATTAAACTATTACTACTCACTCGTGACAAATAATACAGAATGCTAAATGAATATCTATTTATTCTAGACAATTTTCAGCAAATACAAAATCTTGAATTGAGTAAGTCTCATTGTACAAAATTAATGACGTTTTTCTCAATAATTTTAAATTACTGTTTATAGTTATAGAACGCCTACGTGCAGATCAAGGTAAGTTAATAGATTACGACATCGAGGAAAAATGTACAGCATGCACGTGCGAATGTTTGGCATGCACTCGATGCCACGAGGGGTGAGGTATAAATACCACGCAAGCGCGGGCAACCCGCCAGTCGTACCCTCACGGTCGTCACGAGGGCACGTCAATTTTTACGCACCTTTTAAGTACTGATAATGAATAGCATTAGCGAACCAAACTGCTGTCAGACTAAATTTGGCAATATACTCTCAAACGAATTCCATAAGGCCAATGGCAAATTGAAAGTTCACGAACAAAGAATGGTTTTTAATCGAAGTTGAACGACATTTTACACCAGCTAACTTTGTATTTTTTTGTCAAATTTTACTCCATTGTAACAGAAATTGATTCAAAATAGAATCAGATCTGAAATTTTGGGGTATAAAATTCAAAACATTGATCCACAAATAAAAACAAAAGCACCAAAAAGTAAGGAAATAAATAAAGTCTGCGTTGGCACAATGATTAAATAACAGAAAACACTCCTCACATCAGCATTACTAATTATACATAAGTAACCGTAAAAGGAGTGCACAGAATTTAAATAAAATGCAGCCACAATAAGACTATCAATGCTAGTAAGAACAGTTATCATGGCAGCACCGACAGAAATTAAATGAACAAAATTAGCAGCAACATCAACGACATCTTTGTGACGTCATAATCGGACTTTGCTCTGACGCGCGTATATATTACATGAAGTCTCATGCAGGTGCCCTTCAATCGGAGCCAATAACTTGTGTCTTGTTGTACTACGTAATAATGAAAACATGTTGTCGTGTACTCAAGCGAATGTGCGGGGAGAACTAATAGATGGCTTGATAGTTCATTGCATAACCAGAGACATTTGTGTTCAGTGTGAACAATAAAGAGTTAAGGGGAGACTGCAGGAGCATTTGCTGTGAGGCTAATTAATTGTTTAGTTAAGGGGCAACAAAAGAGCGAAAAAATGGCGACAAATGAACACGTAAGGGCATAAAGGCGACAAAGGGGCGATAAATGAGCGACAACAAGGCGTAGAATGAACGTCAAAAAGACATAGAAAGAGCGACAAAATACCGGTGGAAGTGCGGAGAAAATGTTGATATTTCTAACCGATTTGCATTGGTTGCATAGTTTGCACGTTATTCACAAATACAGACGCACATAAATATTCGTTAGCCAGCAATATCCATTCTCCCGGGGGTCTTCGCGCCCGTCGGTCTGCGCGCCCGTCTGTCTACCCTACCTTCTTTCTGCACGCCAGACAATACCTAGTACTCTTCCTTGGATTAATCCCAACTTGGGTCTACGCTCTCATCGGTGTCTACCCTCACTCTGTCTACCCTCACTTTGGTGTACCCTCACTTGGGTCTACCCTCACATCAGTGTCTACCCTCACTTTGGTCTACCCTCACATCGGTGTCTACCCTCACTCTGTCTACCCTCACTCTGTCTACCCTCACATCGGTGTCTACCCTCACATCGGTGTCTACCCTCACTCTGTCTACCCTCACTCTGTCTACCCTCACTTGGGTCTACCCTCACATCGGTGTCTACCATCACATCGGTGTCTACCATCACATCGGTGTCTACCATCACATCGGTGTCTCCCTCACATCGGTGTCTACCCTCAAATCGGTGTCTACCACACATCGGTGTCTACCCTCACATCGGTGTCTACCCTCACATCGGTGTCTACCCTCACATCGGTGTCTACCCTCACATCGGTGTCTACCACACATCGGTGTCTACCCTTAGTCCCTCACATCGGTGTCTACCCTAACATCGGTGTCTACCCTCACATCGGTGTCTACCCTCACATCGGTGTCTACCCTCACATCGGCGTCTACCCTCACTCTGTCTACCCTCACATCGGTGTCTACCCTCACTTGGGTTTACCCTCCTTTGAGTCTACCCTCCCTTGGGCCTACCATCTCTTGGGTCTAACCTCTCTCCCTCACATATCAGTCGGCAGCGTGACGTCTCATGAAAGAGATGAGAACAGCTTGCATCGGCTGTTTTGCATCTCACTTTGAGTCAACGCAAAGAGCCATTCTCAATACTTTTGCTGAACTTGTGGCGTAGTTTTGCATTAATTAGTCACTTTTATTATGTCGAATCACCAGTTAAATATCAGCAGGAAATGAGAGTTATGCGATAGCTCAATCGTGACTACAAGTCGCCGCTGCTGAGAGCTTGTATGACGCACTGTAGCATAGCCTAGAATATGCGGCAAGTGCGCGGAATTCTTGTGTAAAATAACACTGCGACCAAATGGCACCGTAAAATTCCCCGAGGAAATACGTAGTCTAGAGAGCGTGCGGATATATAGTGTGGGTCTAGCGTGTGAGTCTAGCGTGCGGTTCTAGGAGCGGGTCTAGATTGTAGGTCAAGAGTGCAGGGTAAGAGTGCAGGTCTAGAGTGCAGGTCAAGAGTATAGGTCTAGAGTGCAGGTCTAGAGTGCAGGTCTAGAGAGCAGGTCTAGAGTGCAGGTCTAGAGTGCAGGTCTAGAGTGCAGGTCTAGAGTGCAGGTCAAGAGTGCAGGTCTAGAGTGCAGGTCAAGAGTGCAGGTCAAGAGTGCAGGTGTATAGTATGAGTAGAGTGTTACTGTGTAAGTTCAAAGTACACAAGACCGAGCCACACAGACGCGATGAAATTCAATACAACTGCAACCTTGGCATAATATGCCCCTCCCTCGCCCCCGCACACTAAATGGTAAAATGATTAAAAAAATATTGATAGATCCATCATCTACGTCATTAAATCGTACCTACATTCGACGGTAGATTCATGTATATATTCAATACATTCAATGAATGTATTCAGATTCAACTAAATTTCAGGAAGTTAGTAACAAATTGAAAAATAAAGTAAAACATGTACGGTATTATTGACAATAAATTCGTAGTATTCCAAGTCTATTCAATCAAAAGTAAAAACTTGGCAATTTCTTAGTACTTTAGTGAAAATAAAATCGAACGCTGATTTATGACACACGAGTTGCACAATGTTTCGCTCAGCCAGACTCAATGACCTCGGAGACATGGACGTTGGACTGTGATGAAGTACAGCGTTTCTCATTTCTGACTTCCAACAGAGTAGAGAAATGATTTTTCTCATTTCTGACTTGATAAAAGTAGAACACTAAAATTGGTTTCAGAGACATTGAACGAACGATTGTGACGTAAACGATACTTCAGTAACGCCAACTCGATGCAATATGGCACGTGTCTAAAAAATTAGCTGTATTATGTCATATATGCCAAAATACTAAATGTATTCATCACTATATTTGGAACATGTTAATCATACATATAAATGTTATGACTGACATAAACTTAACATACTTTCTGGCGCGAAGCAAAAAAAGCCGTAACATGCGTGAATTTAGGCAGAAAAATACAAACTTTCCATCATTCAAAAACTAGAAATTATTTACTTCACTGCACGAGCAGAATTAAACTTACGGTTTTAAGTGAGATGAAAAAAGTAAAACATCTAACACATTATAATATTACTTATACCGCATGTACAGTGTTCGACCTTGGACGCAGCGTTCATATACCTTGTTACTTGTATCAGAACGCCAGTTCACTCCGTTTACGAATGCGGAAGCCGCGCATCAACACAACGACCTTCGAACAAGCAGACTGTCAGACGCTGATAGCTAGAACTTACAGTTAGTTCTTCAATCTAAAGTAATGTTTAGCCAATTATTAACTGATAACGAGAATGTTGTCATAGTGAATGGCAAGCGGCAATAGCTCTAATGCCGCTTGCCATTCTAATTAGCACTAAAACAAGAACCAACACGATGGGCCACGGCTATAAACTAAAAAAACTGCGTTGCAACTCATCCACGCGACAACATTTCTTCTCGCTTCGAATCACCGACACGTGGAACAGCCTCCCTGTTTACATCGTTGACGCTCAGAGTATGAACGCGATCAAGAATAGACTGGATAAGGTAATGGAGAAATATATGTTCAGACTTGAAATGCCTATTACCATATCGAACCTGGTGGAAGTCTAGTGTAGCTATTTCAAACTAGGGACAGTTTGGAAAAGATCCGGTCGAAGGACTACCTAGTTTTTAGAACTCCTGTGAACAAGTCACGAAAAGCACGAGAATCGGCGACAGGCCACATAAGGTCTACATTCTTCAGCGCCGACATCACTAATCAATAATATGATTTTAATGGTCGCTGTGACGACGATGAACGTGGTAGCCTTTCATTGCATAGGAACATTACATTACATGGTCGCAATAAATCAAACTATGTGTTACTCTGTACAAACTATGTGTGTGTGTACAAACTATGTGACTTCACTAGTCGATGCTCAAACATGACAATGAACTATTTATCGAACAACGTGAAAATTTGATTCATACAAATTATATAGCCAGTCTAACACGGAAAAATTTTAACGGAAAGCGGTCTCCAAATGCGTCAGGGTTAATACAGAGGCTCAGTGCTAGACCGTTAACCAATGAGAAGCGGCAAGAGAGGCGCGCCTCCCGCACCAGCCAATAGGAGCGCAGCGTGGCTGGAGGCGTGCCAGAGCTCGCTATTTCTCATCGCCTCGGGCCAACCTGGAGAAACTTTCTCCCACCAAACTACAACCGAAAATGAAACAAGAGTCGCCACACCAAGACAAACTGATGCCTAGCATTAAAATTCTATATTAATAACCAAACAAATTTCGTTATGCTTGAATGGCGAAGAAAAATTCATAGCTATAACTGTTGCAAGAGCTCTAATTAATTTCTGTGAATGGAATAGATTTTTTCTAAGAAAGGAGTGACGTCTTGCGACGGTCGAGCCTGATGCGTCAGGCTGACGCAATTAGGCTACTCCTACTGTGTTTAGCCCTTTAGCGCCGGAATATATCATATGTATTATGTAGAAAAAATTTCATCGACATTTTTTATTTACTTTGATTTATTTGAAAGGCTGCATATATGTATAGCTAACCGCTAAAGAGGTTTTAAAAATGGCAATGTTAATACTAGTTTTGCATTTGAACCAAATAACTAGAAAATTAAGCAACAAAGAAATTTCAGACCTCGTTACAATGAACACATAGTAAAAAAAAGTACAACATTGTAACATTACAAATTGATAAAAATTAAACTGCAAAAGTTTTAACTGCTAATGCATCCCGTTCGGGAAAGAATAAGTTTGCGTTCCACTCGTACCATTTTATGTCTGCCAAAACATAAGCTTTTATGAATCCTATAATAATCAAATCATTCATGAATCTTAAGTTAAAGAAATCAAATAGCACACCTGTAAACAAGCAGCTTTTCATCTCGATAATTGCGACATAAGCGAGCTAGATTAAAAGAACATTTCGATTTTACAATCCAAGCGGTAATTGGGATTTAGATGCAATCACGTCACATTATGATGATATAGTATCAAGTAATTAGGTACAGAAAGGTACAGAATATGTAGTACAAAATGAATTAATTTTCAGGGAATTGACCCCCAAAACCATCAAGACTATTGAATAATTTGGAAAAAATTAATTTATATATTCCCTGTTTGAAATATTCTAAATTAAAACATAGTTATTCAATGGAATTTTAACAATTAAAATTTAAGAAATATGCTTATATATATACAATGATATGAAAATATTATACACCTATTTTAAATTAAAACATGCCAATGCAAGAATTTGTCAATCAATCAGTAGATGGAGAAAGATGCTTGCTTAGTTCAACAAAAGACATTAGTTCTTACCAAAACTATTGCGTTTTTCTGATGCCAAAAAAGTACATTCAAACTGATTAAAACGTTTTCAATCAATCAATAAAAATTTTGAAGATTCACAGGATAAGTCCAAAATAAATAGCAAAATTTGTTTCATTGTCTTTTTAGGAAAAATATATAAATATAGTAAATAATGAAAATTGAAGTCTATCTCCATGCTCTTTAATTGCCCATTTCAAATTTGTTCTACATTTTGTTTAGATTTTTTTCATATTGAAGTGAACATAACAGATGTAATTCAGGAATAAGAACTCCCAATTAATGTGACTAATTTCAAGCTAATGTTCAGAATGAATCAAGAGATGCATTTTGTATACAACTTAAGAGAAATAAAAGCTAATGCATTTTAATGAGTTTTTTGCCATCAACATGCATATAATATTCTTATTTTTATAATAAAATTAGCAGCAATATTGAATTCAGATCAAATATAAGCATTAGAAATATCAACCATTAGAAAAAAGATTAAGAGCCTTTGTCTAAGGAAGATTAAACCATAATATTCAAAATTGGACTAAAGTATAAATAAAATATCAAATTTAATTTGATTCATGTCACTAAAGTGCAAAAGAATCTTACAAAAAAACTGAAATAAAAAGGGGTAGAAGTTAAGTAAGATAATTCAAAGATAGTTACTAAGTCAGAGAGCATAGCAAATAGAAGCAAGTATTGCATCACTGCCCTGGCATGATTGATACATGCTGAGCAGTGAGTATGCAAAGCATACAAAGTGTGCAATCCCGCAGGAACGTGTCCTAGCAACAAGTAAGTTGACATCAAACTTAAGTTATTTTCTAAAATTTATTGAGCTTGCTACTGGTATGGCATAATTTCTTTGCTTTGAATGGTACCATTATTACCTTGGATAAAATCTGAACACATGCAAAATAATTATAAAAAAGTACTGACAAGAGTTAGTGACTCTAGACACTTTGCACAATTCACCATGGATACCATATTTTGACATGATATTCTGATGTTAATCATTATTTCAAGACTACAGACTTTCAAATTCAGGCTGACATATTATCAGTTTAAATCATAGAAACTACAGATTGTCAGAGATCTAAATGATTAGTTGATTTAGGTACTAATCATATTACTTAATCAATTCCAATCTCTGTTTACCTCAAGCATATGAATTGGATACAACTTACATGACAATACCAACTCATCAATCATCACAATAACTCAATAAGATAAACAAACTTGAAAGCACTCTGATGGCTCAAGCCTCAAGGTAAGCAAAGTATTCTATTGTTTATTTCAAATGAATATACTTATTTTATGGTATTCAGGTATTGTCTAATATTTATTTGTTAGAAATACCTAACAATCTGCAGTGAAATATAGCATAGCATTTTAGGAAATTTATTCAACAATCAACAATGCTTGAGATGTTGGAACTCCCTATAAGAAGTGTATAACTATACCAACTTCAAGTCATGAATTAGGATACAAGTCTTGAGTCTTTGGTTTATAAATTACCATTTTTTTGAGTCAAACTGCCTTGTCAATAATCAACTGCCTTGTCAAATGTCAATAACTTGGTATAGATTTTAAACTTTTTAATTTATTATATGAAGGACACAACTACTAAATGCTCAATGAATCCAGATTAACAAGGAGCAATAATAACACTTAAGTTGCCAATCAATTTCACTTGTCAATTGACACTCTTTGATTTCTAATGGTAATATGTTTATACTTTATATCCCTAGAGAAAAAGACTGAATAAAATTGTCCTACAAGTTACATAATTACATTCTAAATGCTTTTGAGTAGTTTTCTTCAAGTTAAACAAATAAAAATTTATTCCTGACACTGACAGTAATACTATTATGTGTTATTCTCTACTAATTGATAGGTTACATAGGTAAACATTTTGTAAACAATAGCAGGTAAGAAACAAATAGAATTTATCAATGTATTAACTCACCAAAATCTGTGAATTGTTTCACGGAAAGAGGAGATGGATTAAATTGAGAGTAGTGATCTAATTTTTGTTCAAGCACCGTAGTGGCTTGTCTTAATAAATATCTTGATATTCTCATTGTGTCGTATTTCTGTGCTGCGTTCCAACAAATTCTTCCCTCAGTCAGGTCGAAGAGTGACTGGTCTCAGGTTCAGCGCAGAACCGCTAGCCACAACCTAACATGCGTCAAGACGTAAGCGCAACTGACTGGTTCACTTCGGAGTTCGGACTACGTGACCAAGGTTGCCAGATAGCAGCAAGAGAAAACGGCCAATTCTGCCCACAGAAAAAAAGGCAAAACCGGCCACAGTTCAATATTTGTTAGTAAATTTGTAATTAGATGTATGGTGATCAAATTTGTATTATATTTTATTCAAGAAAATATTCAATGAGTGTAGATAGAGCAGCGATTTTAGTCGTCAAAGGCAATTGAAAAAGTTCGAAACTGTACAATTTGGCCGGAAAAAGGCCTATAAGGCAACCTTTACGTGACGTCTATTTGCGTCTCAGCTGTTCATCACAACATAGACAAATGTACTAGATGTACAAGTTTCGTTTGTCATTGGAAATAATTATCAGTAGTACAACGAAACGATGAACGGTAGAGAGGTATTAAGCACTAGCTGTTTATATTCAATGTAAATCAGTCTTTAATAGACGTTTTGAGCAAGAATTTTATCCATGAAAGAAATCATTTCGGAGAAAAAAGTACTAAACTCAGGACGCGAGCGCATGAGCGGACTAAATAATTCTGACACTTAGACCCCCCTCCCCTTCTCAAATGTTCCAATACAAATTACAGTTGTGTGTCTTGTCAAGTCATAAAGTTCCGCAAACATTAACTAAGAAAAGATACAAATCCAATTCAGCTTATTCGGATGAGCTTACCAGTCGAGTCGCGATCCAAGTTTTGTAAAGGCAAATGTTTACATCTTTTAAGAGACTATCTTCAACTTAGTCTCGCATCTGACCGAGCCGTGGAAAACTACTGGGACCCTTCGTACCCTTCTCAGAGGTCATCCCATGATCTAGCTAAATAAAGTAATTACCGCTCATGTTCTTATAACAGAAATATCGGGTAAATCAATCGATACTTTATGTATCAAAACAGTTTGATTTTTTTCAAGGTATACAGAAGTGTGAGACCCGTAACGTTTGTTGGCACGAGTTCACTTGGCATGCCATGCATGCGTCAAAGGCCGCGGCGGTTTGAACCAGAATAAAAACAAGCTTCTCTTCCTCGTAGCCTAACTGAATCATGAGTGGCCAAGTAAATAAACAAACACACATGCACGATGTGCTTTGCACCACGTGCAGTTGAGCACGTCTCAGAAACATTGACTAGGGTAAAATTATGTTCTAACTAATAGTAATAGCTATGTAACTAATATATTTACATTGTCAGGTGGTGTTTCATACGTCACCCGTCCCCATCACTCGCTTGTTTACTTGCAATAGTTTCGCTATAGCTGCCTATTTCTTGTAATAATACCTCACCGTGCCTATCTTAAATAATTAAGAATTAGAGTTACCACTCTTTCATTCCTCCTTAATAGTCATTATATCATATGGACATTAATTCGTACTGCAAATCATTTATACATTTTACTTAATTAATTCTTACCGAGTATCACTGAACAGACGCCCAGGCAATATAAATAATTCAACTATACAGGCGGAATTTTCTGGCTCATTCACGTATAAGTAAGATGAAGCAGTTGCATCATAGTTCGTAGTGGACTTTGCACGTGTGGGTACAAGCTACCATCATAAATTCTAATCAGAAAGAACTATTTGCTGTAAGATATATATGTGAATATTTATTTTGACTTCTCCTGTTATGTCGGTCTCTTTAACGAAGAAAATATTTATATGAATTATACGTCTCTCACAAGAGCCTCCTCATAATGTGTTTCGTTAAATTGTGAGTAGAGTGCGAGAATCAATACGAAGAAATACTTAGTTGTTGTAGTGGTTTCAATAATAATAAGTTAGGAGCTTGAAAAATCAATAAAGATTTTAGTCAAATTATAAAACGTATATAAAATAATAAGCAAGAGGGTTAAATTGACTGCATGTAAAGTTAAAAATAAATAAATAAACATATCAAGTATATAAATAAAATACTTAAAAAAACTTTTTAATAAACCACGTTTTTCTTGTGGACTAAAAGTAGAAAATAAATTATGGCTCGCCCCAAAAAACGTGTGTCGGGCAGATTTATGATTAAAGCGAAAAGCACACAACACACGAATTTTGGAAATTTGATGGTGAACGTACAGCCCGACCCGCGTTTTTTGGGGCGAGCCATAATTTATTTTCTACTTTTTAGTCCACAAGAAAAACGTGGTTTTTTAAAAAGTTTTTTTTAAGTATTTTATTTTATCATTTTTAGTCCGTTGCTGCACGGACTAAAAAGCATGACTTGACGTACGTATCGATGATACGCAGCGTCAGCGCCTGCTCGTCTATAACGTCAGTGCCCGCACGTCATACTATATATATATATACTATATATATATATACTTTACTCAATTAAGCTAATTTAGGTCTCTAATTGCTAGTTTTATGATTGTATCTGAAATTGTTAGGCGAAAATAGCCTGCATGCCGAATTTCAGATCTCTAGAACAATCAGAAATGGGTTAATTTTCGTTGTCAATGTTAACAACTAACAAACAAACAAACAAACAAACAAACGCGAAGCTAAACTAAGAAAAACGTTTTAAAAATCAGAATATCATTGCTGTTTTGTAGCATAGTTAAAAAAGTTCCAAAACGATGAAGTGTTACTTGAAGTTTATTCACTATACCAATATATAAATGTGCAATCTTTGTACCAGACTGATGAAGTTATATAAGCAAATCGTTAATTAATAGAAAGGAATAAAATATTAGTACCAATAAAGTACTAATATTTTACTTAGCGACGTAGCACAAGGAAAAGGAAATAAGATGAAGGCAGTTCAAATTTATTCCAAAAGTAGAGTTTGGCGCAAATATTAAGTAGAAATAACAGCACAGCCCACAGCTGCTCTTGTTATTTGCAATATTAAAAGCATGGAAATAATATTATTGATAAGAACTGAGTTATTTATAACGCTTGTCTTGAATAAACAATAAACAAAGCGATGACACGCATTGAAATAAGTGCGAATTTGTCCTAAGAAGCTATATATTTTAAATGGCTATCTAGCTGGCGGTAGGTGCACCCATACAAATTAATGGTTCATATTGCCCAACTATTGACACACTTAATCGCAGTAAAAGCAGAGAGAGAACGTATCACTGATACGCCCTTTGCGGGGCCAAACCGAGTCAGGATGACTCACATAAGGTCCAAAAGTACATCGTCATTGGGGCAAAGCCTCGCTCATTTATTTCAGTGTAGAGTTCGTGACACAATTACAGGTTATCACAAGATTGTTATCTGTAATCACGTTGTTATCTTAACGTATCTTGATAATTCTAGATATTCTTCTATAGGCAAGTTATAATTAGCGTTAATGTTCAACAATCATGCATGAAGTTGGCACATTAAAACGTACACAAAGTGAGGCAAGTTATAATTAGCGTTAATGTTCAACTATCATGCATGAGGTTGGCACATTCAAACGTACACGTAGTCGTTAAAATCAACAGCACTCAGAGGAACGAACGGGCCTTTGTCCAAGTAGCGATGCACTATTTAGCTTATGTGTGTCATCCTGACACAGTTCGGCCTGGCTAAAGGATGTATTGGAGCTAAGTGAGGACAATGAGTCACAAATTGGACCTTAGTATCCTTCCTTAATATTTGTTTGGGTGGTAGCAGTCCCAGGCCACGATGGTATCTTGGTATCCTTGGTACTTGTTTGGGACGTAGCAGTCCCAGGCCACGATGGTATCTTGGTATCCTTGGTATTTGTTTGGGACGTAGCAGTCCCAGGCCACGATGGTCTCTTGATACTTGTTTGGGACATAGCAGTCCCAGGCCACGATGGTATCTTGGTATCCTTAGCATTTGTTTGGGTGGTAGCAGTCCCAGGCCACGATGGTATCTTGGTATCCTTGGTATTGTTTGGGACGTAGCAGTCCCAGGCCACGATGGTATCTTGGTATTTGTTTGGGACATAGCAGTCCCAGGCCACGATGGTATCTTGGTACTTGTTTGGGACATAGCAGTCCCAGGCCACGATGGTATCTTGGTATTTGTTTGGGACATAGCAGTCCCAGGCCACGATGGATCGCCGCCTCTGATTATCGTTCATCCGCCCTCATTTGGGCCACCTGATGCACGATGCTGTTGCTTACTTCTCGCCGCTGGTAGTGTTGCAGGGGAGGTCGATCTGGGATTGTGCTCAGGAACACGTCTAGCTGTCTCTTGAAGGTCTCCAGGGTGAACTCCCCCTCTCTTAGATCCCTTAGACAATATGATCTATTCATTTGTCTCAGTGTACTGCCATTATTCGGGTAGAATCAATCACCGAAAAATCATCAAGCCCCCGTGAAAATTCAATAGAAGTTATATACTAAATATGAATATAAAAAACTGTGCTGTTAATAATCTATTTTAAACTAACTATAGATCGCTGAAGCTCTGCACTCATTTGCATAGCTTACGGTTTTGTAAGCCGATAAATTTATACAAAACTATAATGTGTAGATTTAATTCACACATAAACTTATATTATGCAGAAGGAATGGAAATGTTCTTTTTCTTAATTATTGTAATTTTGTTCTGATCGACAATGATCGAGAAAATGAATGAATATTAAATAACTAGTAATATAATTTAGGTATAATATTTATAATTTTTATTTTAGGTTTTAGTTTCAGTAGAAATATAAAACGAGAATCACCGCTTATAGTTTTATTCTCGATAATTTAATAATAATTTGAAATTAGCAGCGGCACGACTCACTTTTGACCTCGCGGAAAAATAAGTGGGCTAACGTGTCTCACTTTTTTTCTAATACTTTCTTCACATAAACTAACGAGTCTCCAACACGGCTAATAACTGAACTCAATAATTAAAAATATGGCGCTTTATTAGGAAAACACATTCAAGAAAAAAGTTTTAACAGCAAAATTAATTAATTAAAAAATATTACATGCCACGCGCGTTGTACATTTGCAAGCCTACCTATCAATACAGCTAAAACTTTAATAATTATATTTTTTAATTTCAAAATTGGAATTTCTTTAATTTAATAATTGAATTCAATAAATAAATTTGAAGATAAATGCTATTTTTGCCGCAACTGGAAATACGCAGATGAACAGTAGAATATTTTATTACTTCATTGTTATAATAATCACTTAAATGTTATTAAAATCACTTTTGAAGCAAGCATCAATGCCTAGTTAAACTAATTAAAAAAAATAGTGCGCGAGATGTTCACTAAGTGACAATGCAAGCTAAATTGATAAGGATAAACACAGTGTTGATTAAATTCCTGAACACAATGAATTTGATTCATTATCAAGATTATATAATGAATAGACATAATGTCTATGTATAAGGTATAGACGGCAGTAGCGCGGTGCGTTTATAAGCTGTAGAATTGCTAAGTATACACACTCATAGCAATGAATGGGATAAACTCTCGTTCATTTGTCTGCGTGTAGAATCAAATAGCGTGCATTGATCTTATGAACTTATCATTAATTCCTTTACTGTCATTATGGCTTCGCTTCTTCGTAGTTGACAATGATGCTTAATTTTCGATCGAATAGTTTCATTTATAATTAAACTGAGCGATCGTTTGTATTCTGGCAACACTTTTTTTAAATTTAATTTGAAAGATGTCCATTTAGATCGGAAATTTCTAACAGTAAAATCCAACCTAAACCTCAACCCTAAAATCTCACCCAACCCCTCAATATGAATAGCCAAACAATAGAATCCGTTTACATTTAAACGGGAAAAATTTTTAGTAAAGTTCGCTTGTTTTTTCAAATAAAAGGGAATTTGTCGCTTTTCACTTTTTATTTCATGATACTCGTCAGTGATCAACATCCAATCATCAGTCGTGTATGAAGTGTGTAGGTCGTGAGTGAAGTAACAATGACACCACTGACGCAGTCACCACTGATGCAGTGATTGATGCAAGTATTATTCTCAGTGCCACAGGTGCAGATAATGACCACACAGAAATACAGAGCTCATACATAAGCTTTATTTAGGACATACAAACAAAACAGTAACTACACACATACACTCGCACAACACAATGTTGTGCGGCAACAAATAAATATACAGAACACACATGAAATAGCTCATTGTAGGAGATCGTGTATGAAATGTATGAATGAAATAAATTGTATTACATATACGCCTTTCATACTCGTCATACATAATGCGTGCAGCAAGGCATGATATGACATGATGATTGGTGAACCACCGTGCGCGTGAACCGCCATGGGGACGTCTGTCGGAGACCACCACAGCCGTGCTTCGAATGAACGATCATGGTCCCTTCCCTCAAGAACGTAGCCTACAACACTTCTTGACTAACATTATCAGCCGCAAGCCACCAAACAGATCACATCCATTAAATTAGATCAATCAGCCCACAGGAAAATAGCCTGGCGTAGAATGGCCCAGCGTCGTCTGGAAATACGCGAAAAAATTTTACACCACCCGGACGGAGCGCGCCGGAGTCGTCCGTATCTGTCCCGTGTGTCGAATCAGCCCACGGTCAAACGGCCACGCGTCGTACGACGATAAATTTTGGAAAGAACTATGCTATCTGAAACCCAACCCCCAGATGCTGTGAGCTAAAAGTTACGTAATTTAGCGAAGCTGCGGAAGTCGCTCGTTGAAGGATGATAGATTTTGGAACAGAACTATGCTATCTGAAACCTAACTCCAGATGCTGTGAGCTAAAAGTTACGTAATTTAGCGAAACTGCGGAAGTTGCTCGTGGAAGGACGACAGATTTTGGAACAGAACTACGCTTTCTGAAACCTTGCCCCAGATGCTGTGAGCTAAAAGTAACGTTATTTAACAAAGCTGTGGAAGTCGCTCGTCGAAGGACGATAGATTTAGGAACAGAACTATGCTATCTGAAACTTAACCCCAGATGCTGTGAGCTAAAAGTGAGGGTCTGGTGGTGCACGGCAGGACGCACGCAGTTCCACTGGCGAGCTGGGCTGGTTGGTCGCAGTCCGTTGTCCGCAAGTTACAGTTCGAGCTAAAGTCAGGGTATGAAGTGATGATTCGATGCAACGTTCAGTGGAGGACAACCATTACTCTCTGGGCTATTCGCTTCAGAATATGTTGGCGTAAAGCTTTTAATATTTAGAGCAAAATGATGTCACGGGCTGGTTACCGACGGATGGCTTAATCCGCGGCTGATTGGTGGTCATCCGGAAATATGCTAGGCTTTCCTTTCAGGGCTGATTGGTGCATGGCTGCGTACCCCCGCCATGCATGTGAACTACCGTGCGTGTGAATCGTCATACGCGCGAACCACCGTGCGTGTGAACCGTCGTACACGTAAATCGTTCTACTCATCACGAATGTTGCGTGAACCAAGCTACGTGCACCAAGTTTGTCATTCATGACGCATTCAAAGTTGCACGCAGCGAATTCATACACTGGCATTCATGAGCACACATTCACTAATATACACGGACGTAATAATTGGCATGAATACATTCAATGAGATGAATGTATGTATGTAGGCTATAAAAACAGCGCACTAACAATGAACGCAAAAATTTTGATTACAAATTTGGGAAAGAAAGGAAACACAAAAAAGGGTAAACCAAATGTTCGAAAACGATGATTGAAAAACTGGCAGCGACGTTTGTTCATTTCAAGTCTAAATTATGCCCAATTGAATTAAACATAGATACAAATTCTAAAATTAAAACAAGTTCTAAGTATAAAGTAATTCTTGACTAATTCAATATTTCAAATTTCCTAAAACTCAAATTGGAATAAAATGCAGTTCAATTTTTATTGAACCGCTGGTCTTCTATTCTAATAAAATTGCAGAAAACCAAATAATATACAAATGAAATGTATTTATATCATAATAATGAAATAGACCATAAAATTTTGGAGGTTTTTATACAACGTAAAAGACATTTCTTTATTGACACATCTTGCCTTTAAAAGTCGTGTCTCTTTATATAAGTAATTAACGATAATTAACAGAATATGTCTCGTAAATTACAAATTATTTTTTATTTAAAATAAACTTCATGCCATTTCTCCTTAATATTAAAACAATTACAGAATATTAAAAAACGCAATTTCGAATTTCCCACAAAATATTTTCTAATTTGCCCAAGCTTTAATTTAAGAAATTATTCATAAAAATAGCGCACATATTTATCCATTCAATACATTAAGCAGCGCGTGCAATATGCGTTTAAATTATTATAAAACCTAACGATATTAAATTAATTATTAAGACCCCGTGGCCACCTCTAGACCCAGCACGAATAATATGAGACCATTCGTCTTTACTAAGGCGATCCTAGACCCTAATTTATCTCGGGCGTAGACACTACATCACGAGTCTAGACCAACATAGACCCCGACACTCGGGCCTAGACCCTACATTACGAGTCTAGACCAGCATAGACTCCGACACTCGGGCCTAGACCCTACATTACGAGTCTAGACCAGCATAGACCCCCGACACTCGGGCCTAGACCCTACATTACGAGTCTAGGCCAGCATACCCCGACACTCGGGCCTAGACCCTACATTACGAGTCTAGACCAGCATAGACCCCGACACTCGGGCCTAGACCCTACATTACGAGTCTAGACCAGATAGACCCTACACGGCCTCGTCTATCTTCTCCAGACCCCCTCCTGTCCTATCCTTCTTGGGGCCGATGTCTATAGTGATCCCCTCGCCCTCCCCCCTTGTCCCCTCCTCCCCACCCTCCTGTTGCCCCTCACTCCTGTTGTCCGAGAGCGTCTCTCCTAGCAGCTCCTCGTTGGTCTTGTACAGCACCTGTTGAACAGGCACAAAACTTCAATAAACTTGTCATAATAATCGTTTGAACAGGCATAAATGTCAGCAAACATTTCATAATAATTGTTTAAATAGGCACAAAACTTCAATAAACTTGTCATAATAATCATTTAAACAGGCACAAATGTCAGCAAACATCTCATAATAATTGTTTAAATAGGCACAAACGATCTCATAATAGTCGTTCAAACATGCACAAAAGTCAGCAAACATCTCACAATAATTATTTAAACTAGCACAAATGTGAGGTAACATGTCATTGGAAACGATATAACAGGCACAATCAAAGACAGACGTTAAAAATAAGAATAATCGCAGAAACGACTGAAACAGCAAGAAAAACCGTCAAAAATCGTTTACTATGTATCACAGCTCCAGCTAAAGACGTTACCGTGCCAACACGATTAATAAATCTGTAGACAACTGGTTAACCTGTTGTCTACTAACGTTAACTCTCGCTACCAAGCATTTAGACGGGAATAACATAGAATACGGTTAATGTACACGTGAGTAATGGTTTAAAAATCAGTTTCCATTGTAGGGTTAGGTCAGTATATACACGGGTTGGTGGCAGGCGGAGAATCGGTGTGGGGTTAGGTCACATAACTCACTAGTTGGTAGTGAGCGCAGCATAATAGCGATGCCAGAGGTACGAGGCAGGTATGACTCACTGGTTGAGGTGAGAAGAGCAAAGCCGCGATGCCAGAGGTACGAGGCAGGTAAGACTCACTGGTTGGTGGTGCGCAGAACAAAGCCGCGATGCCAGAGGTACGAGGCAGGTATGACTCACTGGTTGGTGGTGGACAGAGCATAACCGTTATGCCAGAGGTACGAGGCAGGTTGAAGCACTGGTTGGTGGTGAGGGAAGCATAAACGCGATGCCAGAGGTACGAGGCAGGTAAGACTCACTGGTTGGTGGTGGGCGAAGCCTAACCGCAATGCCAGAGGTACGAGGCAGGTAAGACTCACTGGCTGGTGGTGGGCGAAGCCTAACCGCGATGCCAGAGGTACGAGGCAGGTAAGACTCACTGGCTGGTGGTGGACGAAGCATAACCGCGATGCCAGAGGTACGTGGCAGATATGACTCACTGGTTGGTGGTGGGCAGAACAAAGCCGCGATGCCAGAGGTACGAGGCAGTGTAAGGCTGCGCAGACGAACAGCAACACGCCGGCGCAGTAAAAGCTTACGTCGTAGCTCTTAGTGGCGTCGTAGATGCCTCCTGTTGTACGTGTTATACGAGTAGGTTAGTGCACATATAGTGGTGGTAGATAGGCACATAACAGTAGATAGTTAAACTTATCTCAGATGGAGGACGCGTGTGTTAAGTTTTGATTCTTGAAAACTACATGAAATTGATCAAGAGAATTAATGACTCAGGGTCGAGTAATATTTCGCTAATTCGGGAATAGAAAATTCAATACAACTACGAGCATCACTAGAGAAACTAAAAATAGTTTGAATAGCCATAAAAAATTATGAATGAATAACTACTACACAATTTAAAAACTTCAAGTAACGGAGTAACCAAACATGATTTTTGAAGTTAAGTATCAGAGCTTTGTGACAATCATTTAGAAAACAATAATGATAGGATGATTTCTTTACTCAATGCCGTTCGTAAGTGAATGTTAAGAATGTCGTTAACTTCGTTAAAATTAGGTGAAAATAACAACACAGTTGATTTCAATTTCAACAAAAATGTTCAATAAATGGTTGACCATTTTCTGTTTCTAGTATACTTATTTTTCGTGTAAAAGTAAAGACTTATGAAAGTGATACGAGTCAACTGGGTGAATGATGAGGAATATTGTATAATGCAATTTATGTCGAAGAAATGAATGAAGTCGATGTTTGATGAGCGAGATATGAAGAAGAAATGCGACGGTGAATGAGGAAAATAATTCAATGGCACGAGGGACCTGATTCAATTTATGCAGGGGAACAATTTTTTAATGCGGTAGCATTAAAAAATTAAAAGCATTTAATGCATTAAATGCTTTAAAAAGTGTTTATTTTATGGACGGAAAACGACAATAATAGGTGAAGTCTTGAAAGCTCATGCATCGGAGTGTTTTCATGTACAAATTCATTTACATGGGATGCAGTTAATGTAGGTTTGAATGCACAACTTCACGTGTTCTTTTTTAATTGTTGAGGATGAACGTGCAAAGCCTAATAAGCCGTGTTATGCTTATCAAGTAACATATAGTCGTATTTATTTGCAGCGTGTCATGGAATATTTTAATGATTAACAATTGTACAGTTTACAATTTTAATGAACAAGGGTTCAGGTGGTGCTTTATATAGACTGGTGATGATGCATTTAGATACACTCAAGGTAATTTAAATGTTGGAACATCGAAATTCTTTTACTACTGGAAATTTATAGTGATTTTGAGAATTAATAGATATATTTATTAATTCTCAAAATTAATAGATATATCTATTAATTCTCAAACTCACTCTAAATTTCCAGTAGTAAGAGAATTTCGATAGCAAACCCCACTTCAACACATCGCCATGATCGAACAATGAACTAAGCAAATTTCACCTTTGATTCGGAAATTGTTGCCTTCCAAAAAATGCCGTGACTGACGCAATCAAATTATCTCTGCTCGAATTATGTCAAACTTAAAAAAATATAACTCAGTACTCACTGCAGTGAGTGACAGAGAGCACATTTTCTCGTCGACGAAAACGTGAAGTCACGGACGGACAGACAGACAGACAGACGGACATGGCGAGCACAATAGTGCATTTTTTCCATAAATGAGAAATGCGCTAAAAAGAGTTTGAAATAATATTTCTGATATTAGTTACAAATGTGATGTGGACGCGTGTGATGTGGTCAGTGCAAAGTAGACACGAATGATAACAATCATAGGCATTAAAAATGACAATGTAACATGCGTCAAACTGTGCTTTATTACTGAAATTGAAAAATTAAATTTTGAAAACGTAATTAGCGCGATTGTTATCGTTTGTAATTATCATCGCTGCGAATCTGATTGGCCCACAAACTTTGAAGAAAATCAAATATTGTTATTACAAGAACTGACATCGTCGGGTTCTTGTTCTGATCGTCTGAAGCGAAATTATTGGTTTGTACTCGTACATAAGGTGAATAATTTCCATAGGTTTCATTAATGACCGAAATAATGTGGTATGGAATTTTAACGAACTGTTGCACAGCAGAAACCATCAGTTCAGAAAGGATACTCCAAGCAAATTATCGCTCTCAGTTTCATGAAACTAGCGACAATAAGCGACCTTTGAGCAATACAATGGAGACCTTCCACCACATTATTGTAATGGAGAATTAAAAATAATCAGAAGATAACAACAACAAATTTCCTGCAGGACAAGTTCGTGAAAAAAATGTCGACGACAATCAATAGATTATCTATAGAATAAAACCAACACGACGAGCTTTATTTGAACGCTCAATATGAACATAAACAACTTAAGATCAACAGCACATATTCCTGACATTTATTTTCAAGTTAAACAGCATTTTGATGCACAAAATTTCCTCTAAATAAATCAACTTCACAAACTCGAGAAAATGACCGAATTATTACTTAGCACAAGTCAATACATTTGGCTCTACTTATGACAAAATCCGCTTATAAGGTATATGCGCATACAAGGAATGTCCGCTTATAAGAAACGTCCGCTTAATAAGGAGTAACCGCTTACGAGGAATAACCGTTTACAAGAAAATAACAGTTCCCAAATCCGAGAAAAAAAATCAAGCTTTCAGTTACGACTAACCGTCACTTATAAAGCAAAAAATCTCAAATCACAGTTGTCGGTCTCAACAGATCAAACCTTTTATAATCAAACTCGCGAATATTTATAACTACATTTGGTGATAATAATAACATTTGTTCACTAAATTTAGGTGTGTATTCTACCCTTTACGCAAGTTAAAACAAGTTCTCCTACTCCGAATTAAAAGATAAATAATTTATTGTTCGCACGAATAAGAAACGCACCAATAATGGTAGCACGAGTACCACGAAATTACCTGTTATAATTTGGAGCAGGAGTCTGGGTCGATTGAAGCCACAGAGCAGGTTTAGAGCAGGATCAGGCATGTGTGCCGGATGCCAGCACGTTTGCAAGAGAATTTACACCTCCAGCCCCGATTTTCAGCATAAATTTCGTTTATTGTGGACATGCCTGCCTCAAATCTGCTTCTAGCCTGCACTGCTTAACGCCGGCCTGGCTCAAACACCGTTTCAAATTTCAACTGTGTAGGACATCAACAACACCACGTACCATGAAGATACCATTACGTTCTAGCCAGAGGAGGACCTACCACGCTGGCGGACCATTGAAGAGCCACGTACCAATAGAGGCACCACCAGTACCACGTACCAATAGAGGCACCACCAGTACTACGTACCAGTAGAGGCACCACCAGTACCACGTACCAGCCAGAGGAGGGCCTACCACGCTGGCAGAGCCCCTGAAGAGGATGAGGAGGCCAAAGGCGGTGGTGAGCTGCTCCAGACCCAGCAGCTCCACGAGAATAATGGACGTCAGGGACACGTACCCCGCTGTAACAAGTACCCCGGGGGGGTGGGGGGTTACTGGGGGTGCTGGGTACCTTGAAGGAGGCTTGAAGAACATGCAGCAACCACTAGATGGGGTAGGGATTTAGGGGCAAGTTGGGGGGTTTAAAATCCTTATGACATACAAAATATAACTTAGTACTCACTGCAGTGAGTTACAGAGAGTGCATTTTATCGTCCGTCCGTCCGTGAAGTCACGGACAGACAAACGGACAGACGGACGGACATGGCGAGCACAATAGCGCATATTTTCCATAAATGAGAAAATGCGCTAAAAAGAACAATATTGGCCACGCCTGCTCTTGATGCCGGGATTTTAGTGGCGTAAATAACAGGGCCAGTATAACTCACTTTTCACCCCCGCCAAACTTGACACAAAATACGTTGAATTCAACGATGCTGCACAGATAAATTGATAACGTGAAGCACATGCATTTAATGTAAAGATTTTTATCGTTCATACAGGAAATTATTAATAAGGAGTAAAATTTACATAGTATACAATTTACTTTGCATATAGTTAATAATGCACATAATTATTATAGCAGTCAGTGTTACACAGATCAGTGTTGGATGATATGCGGGGTTCTTGCCAACGCAAAAAAGCTAGGGTAACTCAACCATTAATTAGTAATGATCACTATATATACTGATATTATCATTTATGTAAAACTGGGTTAACTCAACCATTAATAATTAATAATAAAATTTACTGTATATATACTGATATACATATACATTTAAATAAAGCTGTAGTAACTCAAGCATTATATAGTAATGATCACTGTACATACACTGGCATCAGTATACATACAGGCAATGAATTGTTAGAGTTCGTTGCGGCATTGGTGGAGCTTTAGAATAGCTTTATCGAATTACAAGAAATTGGTAAATCAAGTTTACGAACAATTAATGACGTTGAATTTGGGAATGAATATCATGCTTGGTTAATTTTCTTACGCATATTAAACATTATTTCTATAGTTAAAAAATAAATAAATTTATTTTCAATAATATAAATCCAAATAGGTACTCTTGTCAAAGTTTGCAAAGTTTTACAATAATTTCAATATTTTCAAATTTATTCTTGGCATTTTTCAAATCATTCATAGAATACACTGCAAATAATCATGAAATTATTCGAATTCCCGAACTTCTTGGCACCCAATATCTACCATAAGAGAACATGCGCTTAAAAATATTTTATGTAAAAAATCAATGTTTCAACATTTTAGTTCAAATGACATATCATATTTACATCATCAATGGCATTATTCGTTGAAAGTCTAATGGACGTTAAAATCACGAGTAAGTTATGAAACATCGTTAAGGAACACCGTTGAAATAGCATTAATATACACAAAAATATTATTATTAGTATATAATATTTTAAAAATCATAACATACAAATAACTTAAATTAGTTAGTTAGTTCATTAATGTAAAAAGGAAATTTAGCTTAGCCATTAATAATAATGGGTTACGGGCATTAAAATCGAATTGCAAATAAATTTAAAATTTATTTTAAAGTATACTTGAATTTACAATAGTAAATGGCCTGCAGGTCTCCGATCGGCAAGCGCTCTTCTCGCAACGCGACACTCATATAGATGAAGGTGCCATATTGTCCATATCATTGGCATCCGTCCATCTCAAAAGATGATGGTTTCGCCACGTCTGTCACCGCACACCTCGCTGTCGGCAGCGTCTTGAGTGGCTCGCCAGGCCGGTTCAGGCATGGTAGTCCCGACCGCAGTTGGCGCAGATGAAGTCCGATGGTGAGACGCTGTTCTGTGTCTGCTGTCTAGCTTTGCGCAGACGGCGCTTGTTTTAAAGCTTGCGACTGTGTTGCTATTCACCCCTCTAAACTCCATCCCGAAAAGCCCGTTGCCAGCCGCATCGGTTGTCTGCAAGCCACTCTCAGGTTTGGTGGTCGGATATTTTTCTATTCTGAGGCTGCGCTTGCAGATATCTTTAAGATAGCATTGACGACGGTAAATCTATCCTAGACAAAAGGGTTAACAGACTCCGCAAGAGACGAAACAATTCCAGTTTTCATGTTTCTATTAAACCACAATGCCGGACGGCCGGTTGGGCGCGCGCCTGTGGATATATATATATTTCCCCGTAGAGAAGATCCTTGGGAATGCGATCATTCCGCATGTGATGCACGTGACCGAGCCACATGACACGGCGCCGGCACAGGAGGAGATGCATGCTCATTGTGCCGGCTTGTTCCAAAACAGTTGTGCTTGTGACCCTGTCCTCCCATGTGATGTTAAGGATGCGGCGGAGGCAGCGAAGGTGGAAGCACTCCAGGCTGCGCTCCTGTTAGCGTACGTGGTCCAGGTTTCGCTGCCGTACAAAAGGGTACCATAAAAGATGCACGCTTGGTACACTTTAAGCTTAGTGTGAAGCGTCACCCGCTTGTTTGACAAGACCTTTTCGTTCAGTCTGGCCATCACACCTGCCGCTTTGCCAATCCTCTGGTCAATCTCACTATCGAGGTACAAGTTGTCGATGAACGCAATGTACAAAGGCCTCCGTTGCTCCCGACATTTCTCCTGCAGCTGGCGTAAGGAGATAATCATGTCTGCTGTGAACCTCTGGGCCTTGAAACCACACTGTGATGCCGGGTAAACTCGATCAGCGGTCGGAGGCTTGACCTTGTCTATATTGTAACACATTTTCTTACCCACAGCACAGACAGAGTGCAGGTAACATTGACGCACGCTTTTGACTGGCCAAACCGAGTTGGGATGACCCACACAATGGCATCGAAATTTGGTCAAAGTATCGTAGAGTTCTCCGAGTGCTGTGTTGAAATTTGTTGACTATAAACTTTTACCCGAAGAGCTCTCATGACGGTTAATGGTAACGTTTTGTTCACCAGTACACTATAAATTTTAATGCACATGTGAATGCAAAGTACATGTGCACGCAGAACACAATAGAGATTTTTTCAAGGAGGAAAGCATGTACATTGTGCATCATATGTACAGTATTTTACAGATTTAATGCAAGTGGTAAATAAAGCATGTACATCACATGTACATGCAGCAGACATTACGTATTGTAATTAAGGAGGAAAGCATGTACATATTGTACATCATATGTACAGTATTTTGCAGACCTAATGAGAGTAGTGAAGCATGTACATCACATGTGCGCGCAGCAGATATTATTTAAGGCACGTTCACGCAGTAAATCACAAACATTTGAAGAATTGAAAAATACACAAAAAAATTTTAAAAGATGTTCATCAAGATGTTAACTTTTAACATGTTCACACAACACACAAATACTTGATCACTTCACACTCCAATTTATTAAGTAACCAATCATAAAATTCAAGAAAAAGTTAAGACAAAATACTCGATTATAGCAATTTGATGTGCTATGAACATATTTACCCTTCATATACAAGTAAATACTTCAAAACTTTATTCCTATACTTTTGGACTTGTCAGGAAAGGAAAACTACGCTCATGGCAAACATTATGGATACGGTACAGTCGTATTAAATAATAATCTTAAAACCAACCGCAAAACAACCCTCAACAAAACCATGCAAATACAGCAGCCAAAAACCATGCAACAAACTGCAGGAAACCGAGACCAGAAGCAAGGTTAAAGAGGTTAACATGCCAGGTTAAATAACAGTCTTTGTTATTCACAAAAGCAACACGCGTTAACGACCAATCACAAACGACAAAAAAAAACGATCGCTCAAGTCAAACGAAACCGAAAACAAAGGGCAGATAAGGTGTCAAGATTTGCACTTGGAAAAATGAATGGGTAATATCGACCAAATAGTGACACACTTTCCAACCCACATGCAGCGTACACGTGAGAACGTGGACTTCTGCCTTTACTGATAGATATAACTGGGTTAGGATGACCCAAACGAGCGTAGAAAGTGCATCTCTATGTGGACAAAAACTCGCTTATTTTCCTAAGTACGCGCTGTTAGATGGAAATGAAGGCAGTTTATAAGAGTTATATATACAACATGCGATGCGGTTTGAATGTGTGTTTTGAACATGAAATGAGCATGATATGAAACTAATTGATGGTGAAGTTGATGCTCGATTTCGGTGAATGTAAGAAAGAATATTTTTGACTATGAAACGTGAAGGAAATTATTAAGATAAGAATAGAAAAACAATAATAATAACACAAGGCTTTGGCTTCAGAATCATTGCAATAGATTCGAAATTAGAACTTCGAGGGTTACTTTTATTTTCAAAGAATTTGATGCTCACAATTGTATTGTTTGCAAATTTGAAGGAATGGTAAATTGAGAATAATTATAATCACTCTGAACTTATAGAAGAAGTTCTGGCAAGATATAAGTCAATTTAATAATAACATTTCTAGGGTACTACATCTCTACCACAGATCTGGTTCACTCTCCACTTCCATTTCTCCCACCTACCATCGCTCCCTGATCACTTAACCCCATACCGTAACCATCAACCTACCACCATACCCACACAACTACTACAGATAGATCCCACTTTAATTAACCATTCTCATTCCATCTAATATAATCATATTCCATTTACTATCATCTTCATATAGCAGCCCAACCGCAGCTCGATCATTACCATTCATAAGCGGTTTAACAGAGTTCGTACTCAACTTAAAAATTCTCACTTTACATTCCCTTTGGTCCTATATAGTATACCTCCATTCCCTTTGGTCCTATATAGTATACCTCCATTCCCTTTGGTCCTATATAGTATACCTCCAATTCCCTCCACCCAAGCCTATTACCGTTAAATAGTTTTCCCACAACCATGCCCATCCTAACCTACCATCCCCTCTCTACCTCGCCAGTAGTAAGTGAGGAGGTTCTACCGCGTGTTGAATGTATGATTTATAATCGAGAGAGTATCATAGGCATATATATGGCCGACCGGCCAGAAGCACGTGGACAATACCCTATACTCCTATACAATGGATTTGTGATATTCCGATAGGATAAATAATGGCCAGCCACGTACGTTCATTGTGATTTTTAATGATGTGAGGCACAAAAAATTGTATATTTCTTTTGTAACGGTGAAGGGACAAGTTGTACGTCATTTGCCGGTAAATATTCGCGGAGGTAAGTGGGCGCCCTAGTTGACAAAGTTTGTGATCGTCTCGCGATTGATTAAATATTGGCTGCAGCCATGCACGCACGTTCCTGGCTACATAATACGTTTTCGCGCAAAGATATTTTATCGATTTTAAGCAAATGGCAACATATCTTGGGATGGTGTAGTCAGTTGCCGGCGGGGTGTGCGTGCCGTTCCTGCTTCTGGTTTCCTACATCCTTACGTTCTGTGATGCCGATATTTGTATGGCGAGCTAGTGTAGTTTGTGTGACCGAGCGAGCTAGTGCAGTTCGATTTACTGATAGCCCTGCTGATTACCCCCCCCCCACCTGCCAGGGGGGAGCTGACCACCCCCGCCGCCCCCCTGAAGATGTTCAAGAGTCCGAAGGATGAAGAGAGAAGAGGGAGTCCCATCACATCCACGAGGATGATGGATGTCAGCGCGATGAAGGGAGCTATTCACATACATTATGATGCATAGAGGAGGAGTTAGGCACGGCATATATAGAAATAGATACCATACATCGGGGAATGTATAGAGAATGTTAGACATGTATAAATAATGTTAATGTTATGTTAAATATATATAAGGATACATATATCGGGGAATGTATAGAGAATGTTAGGCATTTTGATAAATGTATATAAGGATACCATATGTCGGGGAATGTATAGAGAATGTTAGACATGTTGTTAAATGTATATAAGGAAACCATACATCGGGGAATGTATAGAGAATGTTAGACATGTTGTTAAATCTATATAAGGATACCATACAAGAAGGAACATACAGAGGATGTCAGGCACGTAATATATGTAAATAGACAAAAAAAACTGTGGGGGTGCCCTGTATTTTGCCGTGTAAATAGTATATGGGTGATTAGCATATATGATTCATAGAGCGTTAGTATACCACAGGTGATATGGGTAATATATGATTGACTATAAACTAAAGGCAATAATGGCGCTCCAAAAACTTTCAACCCAAAAATTTTGTAAATTTTAATGTAAATTAAATTTTATTAGTGAATTAACAATTATGACTTCATTAATACAAATAAATTTTGCTATTGCAACGGTAACTATGGTTTCTAATGGCGTTCAAATACGTAGTAAGTACAAGTATTCTATTTATATAGTTTATACCCACAGTATCTATACCACACACAACACGCACGAAGATAAAAAGCAAACAAGGCTATAACACTATATACTTTGCGGAATAAATGGAATACAAAAGCAATTCACATCATATATAATTGCATATCTATATATGATATACATATATATATCATAACGGTGCACCACGAAGAGAATATCAACAAGAACGAGTACAAACAATAAGTACAGAAGACCGATGCTAACAACAACAAAATCAAATGTGTCGACACGAGAACAATTGAACAATTGATCATCCATGATGTCTAATCATCCACAGAAACACAAAAATTCCGTTACATCAATCATTCCTAATACGACATCAATGGACTGAAACACTGAATAATAATCGAATATAAATTAGCTAAAATACAGTAATAACTCGTAGCTCGACAGACACTCTGGTGAATAATGATAAGAGAGGTTAATTTGAAGGCAGCCATATGAAAAATCTGGAAAATTACTATTGACATGAAATGGAAAGTTTTCCTGACTGGGAAATAATGGCAAGTGATGCCAATAAATATGAAACATAACGAGAGAGAATAATATAACATGAACATATTAATAATCGCGACGCAAGATCATACATTAAAAATTGCAACAACACGCATAGGTATATATACTATATACGATACGTACAACATTAAAATGACTAAATATAGTTCAGTAAAATCAATTTTTAAGGGAAGGCCTCAAAAGAAATCGTAATAACGAATACGAGAATAGATGCTAAATCTAACAACTCTACAATATAAAAGGATATAAAGCATTGAAAAATATTTAACGAAAATCACTAAAACAAGCATGACTGAAAACTACAAATAATACAAGAAAATAATGTACCATATAAAATCACGTGACACGTAGAAAAATAATGGAGACGGACAGAGATGGAAAAAAAGCACACAATAAACGTAGATTAAATAACGAGGGAAAAATGTAAAAAAAACTCTTTAAAAATGACGACTTAATTACGAAAAAATGATATTTTTCGGCATTCATCGACACTAAAACACGATAAAAAAGTCTACTCACAGACGAAAAAGATGGGTAGATTACAGGAAGATTGACAAAATGTAATAAATACTAGAAAAATTAGACTTAATTACGAAAAAAAACGCGATTTTTTGGCTTTCATCGACACTAAAAACGTGACAAGAAAGTCTACTCACAGACGAAAAAGCCAAAGAATATGGAGAGGGTGACGAAAGAGGCGTAGGACGACGCAAAGGGCGTGAGGAAGACGCAGAGGCCGCTGCAGAAGACGCAGAAGTTGTTGACGTAAAGTGCGTTGACGCGCTCCATGTCCGCTAGTAGTCCGGACAACACGCGCCCGATGGTGTTAGTGATCCCGATGATGGAGATGAGGAATGTGGCGCTGGTGCTGTCTATACCCTGGGGGAAAGAGGGGGGATGATGGAGATGATGGATATACCCTGATGATGGACATACCCTGAGGACATACCCTGATGATGGATATACCCTGGGGGGCAAGAGGGGGGATGATGGAGATAAGGAACGTGGCGCTGGTGCTGTCTATACCCTGTCTCTTATACACATCTAGATGTGTATAAGAGACAGGTCTATACCCTGGGGGCAAGAGGGGTGATGATGGAGATGAGGAATGTGGCGCTGGTGTAATCTCCCAGTGGATGGCGCTATGTTTTCCGGCTCTGGCGTGGAGACAAAGCAAAATTTTCACGGGGATATTTTCTCCCGGGGAACGAAAAGACACCGAGAACAACAGAGTTTTGACAGCTCACTCCCCCCACGCTATAGCTTACGAGGAAGGTTTGTTAATTTTGCCAGCCACCACCCACTATACCCCCTACGGCCGAGCCACTGCAGATCTTCTTTCATCCCAAAATGTTGTAGGGGCACTCGCCGAATCCCTCCTGTCCTGATGACGAAGAGCGTCTGCCGTCCACTCAGCACCTCTTCAGTGAAAGTCCCTCCGCAGTCCGCACCTCCTCTGTATTGGACAGCTCCGTGTAGGCACCCCCTCTCCTTCACTTTTTTGGCTCTTGCCCTTTCCCTTCTTCTGCCCTTGCCCTTTCCCTTCTTCTGCCCTTGCCCTTTCACCTCTTTGGCCCTTGCCCTTTCTCTTCTTCTGCGCTTGCCCTTTTTCTTCTTCTGCCCTTGCCCTCTCACCTCTTTGACCCTTGCCCTTTCACTTCTTCTGCTCCTGCCCTTTCACTTCTGCCCTTGCCCTTTCCCTTCTTCTGCTCTTGCCCTTTCCCTTCTTCTGCCTAATCCTTTCATTTTCTTTTATTTTTCTACTTCCCTTCTTTTGCCAATCGCTTTTGTACGGAGAAGACACAGTAGACACTCACCTTTTCTACGGCCGCCCCCGGCAGGTAGACGTAGGGCGTGTAGAAGCCCAACATGCCGAAGACACAGTAGACACTCACCTTTTCTACGGCCGCCCCCGGTAAGTAGACGTAGGGCGTGTAGAAGCCCAACATGCCGAAGACGTTGGCGATGCCGATGAGCAGGAAGACGGGATCCTTCAGGAGGCTAAAGTTCATCATCTGCGCCAGCGTCCCGCGCATCGACTCCGGCAGACATGAACCTGTAATCATCATTGTTGATATTATCATCGTCATCATTGTTGATATTATCATCATCAACATAATTATAGTCAATATCGCCATCATCATCGGCATAATCTAGATGATTTTAATATTTGATTTCTCTTATATTTGAAAACTTAATTTAAATTGAATACAAAATCATTGTTAAATTTCATATAGAAGTGATGAAAGTTTAATTGCACGGAAGTAACCACAAAACGTACCAGGCTTTAGTGGTAAAATTTCTTTGCATTTAAAGTCTAATTTTTGATTCAATGCGCCAAAAATTGAATTTCGTTAGTGAAATCAACTCACACTTTTCCTTCTCTTTAGGAACATCCTTGGAGTCAGCCTGGTCCATCTCTGGCTTCTCTATGACGTCCAACACCGCCCTGAAATAGGGTAAAAATAATTATGGGGTAGGGTAATGGTCAAAAAATAACTAGTACAAAAATATTTCTAATCATCTTTGTAGAAAAAAATAGTTACAATTCGCAATCGGGATAATTTGACCAGTTTCTTGATACATCAGAGCATTTTGCCGGCGCTATTTATCTTCAAAAGGAAATTTAAAGCTAATATTGAACTAACAATTTTTGTGAAGTATAATTTCACGCAACAGTTGTCGCGAAAAAAACTGCCCAGGCACAAATTATTGTCTGTGTAACTGCGTATTAAGTGATAATATCACTAGCAAACCTTGAGAAAAACTGGTAAAAATAAAAACTTCTAATACTCTATGAAAGCATAGAAAAAATCTAAAAAACACAAGGTCCAAAAAATTAAAATTTCAGAAAGGGGCTTTGATGGGAATTTAGAATACTTATATAAACGAGTTTCCCCTAGGAGCCGTTTTCTATGAGGGGCATTTTCAGAGAACGTATAGAAGGTGTACTCAGCTAGTTGATATCAACACAAACTCTTTCTCCTTATCGAATGACTTTCTTCCTCCGTCATGATTGATCAACAAAAAGCATTAGAAACATTTATAAATATTAAAATTCAAATCCTAATCGCCCTACTAGACGCTAGTTAAACGTACCTAAGATTTAAGCACGAGTTGAAGCACAGGAACCACAGAAATAGAAGCGCTGCATCAGCTGTTCCGCACTTATGATTACTAAATTTTTTAGATAGAACGAACTACTCACTAGGTGCTCTAGGCTCTAGCACTCACCTAAATATATGCTCTAGCACACACCTAGATGCACCAGTTCCCTGGAGATTTAGCGTGCTCTCCCTGTAGAAGTTACCTAGATGCCCCAGCACTCACCCAGATGCGCCAGCACTCACCTAGATGCCCCAGCACTCACCTAGATGCCCCAGCACTCACCTAGATGCTTTAGCACTCACATAGATGCCCCAGCACTCACCTAGATGTCCCAGCTCTCACCTAGATGCCCCAGCACTCACCTAGATGCCCCAGCACTCACCTAGATGCACCAGTCCCCTGTAGGTTGAGGGTACTCTCCCTGTAGGAGATCATGGAGAGCTGGGACTTGTACTCTTGTAGATTGGAGATGGAGCCCGAGTAGAAGATGTCCTGCCGGGACATGGGGCGCAGCATCATGGCACGCCGCTCCTGCTGGGGGAGGAGGGGGTTACAGAAGTGGGGGTGAGGGAGAACATGGGGCGGCGCAGCATCATGGTCGAGGTAAGAAGGCTTCTTAGAGTGCTTCAACAGTTAAGTTCTAAAATCTTTTATCCAATATAAAGCATAATAGGGGAATCAAAAAATGTTTGCGAGTCTGTCAAATCAAGTGCAACTTCATACATTAGCCATCAATGAGAACGTGGCAGTTCATAGTAATTTCCTTCACTCTTTGTTGAATGTGCAACTTCCTCACTAAACACAACTCCCTCACTCAATGCAACGTTCCCCCTCTCCCCCATTCACCCCAATCCTTCAAACCGTACAACATCCTTCACACCCCCAACCCCTACATCGTGTCCCCGCACCCTAGCCTGTACAACGGACTTCCACAGCTATCAAAGTCCCCACGGCCCCCAACCTCCCCACAAAAACTTCTCACACTCGCAACCCCTACCCAAGTCCCCACGCTCACCCAACCCCTACAACGTCCCCCATACCCCCACCCCCTAGAGCAGTCCCCACACTCCCCCAACACTCATAACGTCCCCACACTCCCCTGTCCCTACCCCAGTCCCCACACTCCCCCGAACACTGGTACCCCAGTCCCAATACTTCCCCAACCCCTACAACGTCGTCACCCCCCCCCCTTATTCCATACAACGTCCCCATTTCCCCCACCTTTACCCCAGTCCCCACGGGGGCGGAGGACTTGCGGGGGGCGAGGGGGGCGAGGGAGGAGCGGCTCTCAGGGTGCAGGTTCAGGACGCTGGCGCGGGGGGTGGCGGGGACCACCTGGGGAGAGGATGGGTTAATTCTACGAATTAATCAACAAATAATAATTACTATAACTATAAATGTTATTTCCACAAATTAATTAACAAATAATAATAACTATAACTATAAATGTTATTTCCACGAATTAATCAACAAATAATACTGTAATACTATAAAAATCATGAGCTAATCATCAAATAATATGATTAATTCATAAATAATAATATTATATAATAATAATAATATAAAATCGAAGTTACTCATTCACTAATTGATACTTCGTTAATAATAATACTATCAATATTAATGATGGCAACATAATATTAATGATGTTGATCAGTAATTACTATTGTTTATAGAAGCATCCATACAATATTAAGAGTAAGGGCATTAATGACTCATACCTTGTTACCTATCTACTATGTTGATACTTCAATAATAATAATGGAATCACAAATGTTGATCATAGTAACCCAATATTAATGATGTTAATCATTAATTACTATTATATAAGCATAACATCATTACAATAATAAGAATAAGAACATTAATGACTCATACCTTGAGCTGCTGCACGAGCTCCGTACGCGACCGCCGCCGCTCGAAGTTTGGCACCGACCCCACCGTCCGGAAGTGCCTGCGGGGATGAGGCATGGTGTGAGGCTGTGAGGCATGGTATGAGGCATGGTGTGAGACCGTGAGGCATGGTATGACTGTGAGGCATGGTCTGTAAATAACGCTGGTATGCTTCCTTCGTTGTATTGTAGCTTTGCTAAAACTGTACTGTTCATTCACCGAGTTTTTTTTTTTGGCTCCACCAAGCTTAATTTTAGGTACACACGCATCAACTGCAGACATAACCGTGTCCTTGAGAAATGATCATGACTCAGCCACATTCATGTCCTTAATATAGTTCGAAATATTCACTGCTTCACGGAGTTTATCATAGTCGCCTTTTGCCATAGTCGCCATTTTTGGCATATACTTAGTAACTACCTGCCACAGCCCCTTCCTTGCCACAATTAGAGCTACATACCTTACAGCACGACTTGTAGCTGAAATCATTACGCAATGGCACCTTGATTATATCAATATTTATGTGCATATTTGGTGTGATAGTAAAATTGTGTTACATTGGATCTTAGGTAATAAGCTTAATAACAGGAGATATGTCGACCAGGGGTTAGAGGAGATACGCGCAATCGTTCACATTGCAATTTGGAGTTACGTTCCCAGTTCTGAGAACCCTGCAGATACTGTCATGCGCTGGGTCACTGGAGATAAATTTCTCAGATGCAGAGTATGGTTTATTAGACCTGCTTGGTTTTCGGATAAGAAATTTTGGATTCCATTCGTGACATGAGATAGAGGGAAACGCAGCCGTGCACCACCAAATTTCGTCACCAATCAGTTCTGAAAGGAACGCCTAGCATATCTCCGGATAACCACCAATTAGCCGCGGATTAAACCATACGTCCGTAACCAGCCCGTGACATCATCTTGCTTTAAATATTAGGAGCTTTACGCCACCCTATTCTGAAGCGAATAGCCCTAAGAGTAATGGTTGTCCACCACTGAACATCGAACGTTGCAACGATCATCACTTCATACCCTGACTTTAGCTCGAACTGTAACTAGCGGACAACGGAGTGAACGGACTGCGACTAATCAGTTCCACTGCGACCAGCTCGACGGCTCGGACAGCATGTGCATGAATCCTGTCGTGCACCACTAGACAGTTACTTTTACCTCACAGCATCGGGTAAGGTTTCTGATAGCATGGTTTAGTTCCAAAATTCGACACACGGGACGGATATATAGGTGCTTATGCACGGGGCGATTAGTTGAGTCGACTAGTTTTGGAGGCTGAGAGCTTATGCACGAGGAAAGTGTTTCAGTACAGTGCGTCAGTGCGACGTTGGAATTTGTCGAGTAAGGTGTGTTCACGGTGGAGGCAAGCGAGAGCTCGACAGCTGTGCGCGCTACAGTGGGCAAGAGAGAGAGAGAGAGCAACGCAGTTATCCACGCTAAGACGGCCGAGACGGCACTGGGAACACTCGACTGCTTCAAACAACTCCAGTTGCTCTGCCTGCAATGCACCAGCTAGTTGCCTCTGAACACGTAAAACATAATAGCGGTTTCAGCGTTTAATAGGCCATAGGCCTGTCGCCGATTCTTAACATCGCAGAACATCCACAGCTTGTTGCGGTCTCGAACCTAAAATTTATGATTTTTAAGGCGAAAATTTGTTATTTTCGCCTTGTGTATAAGCACCTATACGTACGGCTCGGTGGCGGGCATCATAATCACTGCAATTAAGGGTGCGGCGCGCTCTGTCCGGATGGTGTAACATTTTTTTCGTATTGACGGACGATGCTGGGCCATTCTACGTCAGGCTACTTTCCTGTGGGCTGATTAATCTAATTCGATGGATGTGATCTGTTTGGTGGCTTGCGGCTGATAATGTTACAGTCAAGAAGTGTTATAGGCTACGTTCTTGAGGGAAGGGATCATGATAGTTCATTCGATGCTCGGCAGTGGTGGTCTCCGACAGGCGTCCCATTCGTGGTGTGAGTCATAGGATGAGTCGTGGCACGAGTCGTGGTGTGAGTCATGTACCCTCACCCGCCAGGCCCCGTATCCTCACCTGCCGGGCCCCATGTTGACGGGCTGGGAAGCGTTGCGGGGCAGCGGGCCCATGGACACGATGCTCACTTTGGGCCCAGCGCCGCCCGCCGTTAGACCCTCGCGCTCCTCCCCCGCCCCTCCTCCGTTCCGCTCTGCTCAGAAATTGGGACATTAATTGGGTCCACTCTAGCGCATCAATTGTGTGGCCCACTCTAGGACATGAATTGGGTGGCCCACTCTAGGGCATTAATTGAGTGGCCCATTCTAGGGCATCAATTGAGTGGCCCTTTCTATGCATCAATTGGGTGGCCCACTCTAGGGCATTGAGTGTGGCACACTCCATGGCATCAATTGAGTGGGCAACTCTAGGGCATTAATGGTGCGCTCCAGTCAAGGGCTTCAATAGACTGGCCTACTCTAGAGCACTGATTGAGTGGGTCACTCTAGGGCATCAATTGAGTGTGCCCATTCTAGAGAACCGATTGAGTGGGCCACACTAGGGCGTCAACTGGGTGGCCCACTCTAGGGCATCAACTGGGTGGCCCACTCAAGAGCATCAACTGTGTGGCCCACTCTAGGACATTAACTGAGTGGCCCACTCTAGGGCATCAACTGGGTGGCCCACTCTAGGGCATCAACTGGGTGGCCCACTCTAGGGCATCAACTGGGTGGCCCACTCTAGAGCATCAACTGGGTGGCCCACTCTAGGACATTAACTGGGTGGCCCACTCTAGGACATTAACTGGGTGGCCCACTCTAGGGCATCAATTGGGTGGCCCACTCTATGGTCCCACTCACCTGTAGGGGAGGAGGGGGAGCCCTCCCTGATGGGGGTGAGGGGGGCGCCGCTGTGGAGGTTCAGATGCGACTGCACGCCGGGGTCCGCGTTGACGCTGCGCTGCAACGCAAAAAATTACGTTACAATCCAGCGTTACGTTGCGTTACAATCCAGCGTTACGTTGCGTTACAATTAAACACACGTTACGTTGCAGTCACACCACTGACGTTGCAGTTCGGGGCATGTTACGTTACGTTGCAGTCACGTCACTGACGTTGCAGTTCAGGGTATGTTACGTTACGTTGCAGTTGTTGTTGTTGTAATTGCCCATCCTGGCAGTGGCGACTAGGTAGGGGGGTGATAGGTCAGTTTTTCTGGGCACTTGATGCACTGGTAGTTCTACGACCATTACTGGCTCGCTGACCCGCCAGAACCATTTTATTGCATTACACAACACCCTGGACAAGCCAGGTACTCATTTACCAACCAGAGTTGGATGAATGGCTGAGTTGACCATGAGCTGAGCTTCCCGGTAGAACTTGTCCTCAGTGGGACTCGAACCCGGGAGCTGGGCGCGAGAGACTGAGTCTCTCACCACTGCACCACCACAGCTCCGTACTTCTCTCACCATAACGCCTATAACCAAAAACCCCTCCTTCCCCAACCCTCAGTTTTAGGCACAACTCCCCCCTCCTCCTAACCTTGTGCTGAGAGAAGGACATGGCCCCACCAGCCGCTGGGCCAGGAAGGCCCATAACAACACCCTCCTCCCCACCTTGTGCTGGGAGAAGGACGTGGCCCCATCAGCCCCATCAAGCCCCAGGGCCAGGAAGGCCCCTAACAACATCCTCCTCCGCACCATGTGCTGGGAGAAGGACGTGGCCCCATCAAGCCCCAGGGCCAGGAAGGCCCCTAACAACACCCTCCTCCCCACCTTGTGCTGGGAGAAAGACGTGGCCCCATCAGCACCATCAAGCCCCTGGGCCAGGGAGGCCCTGAGCTGCCTTTCCTCCTCGTCGAGGCGCTGCAGGAGCTGACGCTTCGTCATCCGCGGCACCGCCAGCGGCCGCATCAGCGACCCAAACACCTGCACGCATGGAAATGCATGGGTCACTTTGTCCAAATAGTATAACACTTTGTAATAAAACTACAGCAAGAGCTATGAGAGCGGACGTGATACTGCAATTGGGGCGCTCGCTGACCTGCGGTCAAGACCATTACATCGGGCACGCACGCGACATAAAAATCTTTTAAGACAAAAAAAAAATAATAATAAACACGTGATAAATAAATACACGAGACGTGTTGACATGTTAGTGACGTGTTTGGGACGTGTTGACAACATGTTCCTATAATGTTAGTGACATGTTAGTGACGTGTTGACAACATGTTCCTATAATGTTAGTGACATGTTAGTGACGTGTTGACAACATGTTCCTATGATGTTAGTGACAGTCTTGGCTGTAGACAACGTGTTAGTGCTGCAGCCGCTCTCCCCAGCACCCACCACGGCGTTAAGCACAAGCCCCGCGAGCAGGATGTTGGTGCCCCGCCAGCCGTACTGCGCCAGGAGGAACTTCACGAAGGGGGGGAAGAGCATCGTCCCCACGCCGCTCCCACACACCGCAATCCCCGTCGCCAGGGCGCGCTTCTTCTCGAAGTAATATCCCACGCATACCACCGCGGGGAGGTAGATCATCCCGAACCCCAGACCTGGGGGAAGGAGGGATGATAAGGAATACCCCAAGCATACCCCCAGGACACACCACAATAATGGGCCGGGTCACCCTATCACTCGTCACTCCCAACAGGTGCTCTCTCCCCACCATCCCCTGGCACCACCAACAGGTACTCTCCACACACCGCCCCCCGCACAAGCCTCTTGACGACCTAACATTAAACCTGAAAATGGATTGGTAACTCTGATCCCAATGTCAACCGTATAGCGATGTTCTTAGTTCACTTTTTCTACACCGGCTTCTGTAATAATGAACTCAACAGTTAGGTTATTAAGGACTTGAAGAAGTAACAGTCCCAGGCCACGCATCAGCTCTCAGTTGGGCCAGTTAATGCACGATGCTTGCTTCTCGCCGCTGGTAGTGGGGCAGAGGCGGACGATAAGGGATCGTGTCAAGGAACACGTCCAATCGACTCTGGAATATCTGAAGGGTGAACCCTTCTGCTCTAAGCTCATTTGGCAAGACGTTAAACAGCCTTTGTCCCGCCACGGAAATAAATCCTTCCCGTAGAGATTTGCAATTTAATCTCAATCCTGAAGATCTCGTTTTCGAAGTTAAGTGCCAGTCCTGTTATCATTTTCCAGGAGTACAGAATAACATGCCTCTCTCGTTCTGCTCCGCCATTCCGCTGTTCCTAGCTAGACGTGAAGGTTCGTAGGACCGCTTCACGTTGCCGCACTGCGCCGACTGTGAACAGGGTCCAAAACTTGCAGCAGTCCACAAGAAGAGGGATCACAAGGGCTCTAAAGAGTGTGATCATCGGTTCAGCTGCTCTCGTTTTGAACGTCCGCCAGATCCACCCCATCTGTCGTCTACTTCTTGTGGTTATTGCCGTTATGTGGTCACCAAAATTTACCTGAGTATTAATCAACACTCCTAGATCACCCTCATCACCCCACCACGTACTGACCCCTTACCACCTCTTGCATCACCATCAGGTACTCACCCCCTGCATCACCATCAGGTACTCACCCCCTCTGACCCCTTACCACCTCTTGCATCACCATCAGGCCACCACCCCCTGCATCACCATCAGGTACTGGACCGATGGTGCGAACACCGTCAGGAGGAAGGCCACGCAGCCGATGATGGCGCCCACCATGCACACGACGCGGCACCCGAACTTGTTGCTCAGCGCCGACACGATCGGGCCTAAAGTGGGTACAATTAGTGGGTCATGTGAGTACAATAAGTGGGTCATGTGGGTACAATAAGTGGGTCATGTGGGTACAATTAGTGGGTCATGTGGGTACAATTAGTGGGTCATGTGGGTACAATAAGTGGGTCATGTGGGTACAATAAGTGGGTCATGTGGGTACAATAAGTGGGTCATGTGGGTACAATAAGTGGGTCATGTGGGTACAATAAGTGGGTCATGTGGGTACAATAAGTGGGTCATGTGGGTACAATAAGTGGGTCATGTGGGTACAATAAGTGGGTCATGTGGGTACAATAAGTGGGTCATGTGGGTACAATAAGTGGGTCATGTGGGTACAATAAGTGGGTCATGTGGGTACAATAAGTGGGTCATGTGGGTACAATAAGTGGGTCATGTGGGTACAATAAGTGGGTCATGTGGGTACAATAAGTGGGTCATGTGGGTACAATAAGTGGGTCATGTGGGTACAATAAGTGGGTCATGTGGGTACAATAAGTGGGTCATGTGGGTACAATAAGTGGGTCATGTGGGTACAATAAGTGGGTCATGTGGGTACAATAAGTGGGTCATGTGGGTACAATAAGTGGGTCATGTGGGTACAATAAGTGGGTCATGTGGGTACAATAAGTGGGTCATGTGGGTACAATAAGTGGGTCATGTGGGTACAATAAGTGGGTCATGTGGGTACAATAAGTGGGTCATGTGGGTACAATAAGTGGGTCATGTGGGTACAATAAGTGGGTCATGTGGGTACAATAAGTGGGTCATGTGGGTACAATAAGTGGGTCATGTGGGTACAATAAGTGGGTCATATGTACTTGGGCCGCTACGTTCATTTAGGCCGCTACGTTTATTTAGGCCGCTACGTGTACATAGGCCGCTACATTTACTAGGCCGCTACGTGTACAAAGACAAAATTAGACCCCACTTACCAGCACTGAGGTAGACCCCCGCCAGGAGTGAAGGTATCCACGAGACCTTGGACATATCAGCCCCGAAGGCCTCCATGTAGACCGGCAGGAAGGGGCTGAAGGAATAAGCGATGCCATCCACCACCATGTTGGCTAGGAACGATGCGAGCACAATCACCCAACCTGTGGGGAGTTAGATAATCACCCAGCCTGTGGGGAGTTAGATAATCACCCAGCCTGTGGGGAATTAAATAATAAGCCAGCCCACGGAGAGGGGGAGGAGGGAGTAGGGGTTTGATTTTTGATATGCCCGGTTTCTATCTGGCGTCTCATTATAGTCATTATAATAATATTATATGACTAGATCATATGTAATCAGGACGTAATATTCACTTAACCTGATAGAGATTGATGGAAAAGTACTAGACATAAGTCAGCATCTGGAAGACATCACGTGATAGATCGCGCAATCAAGGAAATTAGTTGTGGGCGGAAGCTGAAGGCTATATAAGGGCTGGCAACCTTAGTAAGAGCCTCCCGCAGTTGTTAATAAGCGCTCAGGAGCCATACTTTCAAAACTCGCTAAATGAACGTAAGTACTTACGCTCTATTTTATTGTCTATGACTGGTGGATTTTGATTGAAAGGCCGTCAATGATTGGCTGATGAACTTACGATCTCTTAACTTTTTTTTGAAAGTATAGGCTCAGCGATGTAACGCGTCGGTTGAGTTCTCCGACCTTTACGGTCGACGCCGTAGCTTATACCTCTGGGCCCATACTTTCAAAAAAAGTTAAGAGATCGTAAGTTCATCAGCCAATCATTGACGGTCTTTCAAGCAAAATCTACCAATCGTAGAGAAGAAAATAGAGCGTAAGTACTTACGTTCACTTAGTTAGGTTTAAAGTACCTATGACCCCTAGCTTTATCGTAACTCATGTAATGTATAACCGCCCTGTATATCAAGATATGTTATCAGGACACATGTGTCTTACTTATCCCTAAATAACATAGTCACGTATCCCTATCCTCAGGTAGAGATTAATAACGAAGATCTGATAGATATGATAACTCAATAACGAGTATTTATTTAGAGTATAGTTTGATAAGAACGACACATAATGATTAAAATATTTAATTATTATAAATAGCTACTTAGTGTAGGTAGTGTGACTCACCCCAGTGTATAGTTTTATAAGAACGACACAGAATGATTAAAATAATTATTATAAATAACTTAGTGTAGTGTGACTCACCCCACCCGCCGTCGGGGGGCGGGGGCAGCTCGGCGGGGAGGTCAATGAGTTCGTCCAGCGCGGGGTCGTCCAGGTCCCTGCCGTCCAGCAGCAGGGGGTCCGACCCCCTCCGCCCATCCTGCTCGCTCTGGGGGGAGGGAGAGGGGGTTAATATGGAGGAGGTTTATTGTGGGGGGAAGGAGTAGGTAATATGGAGACGGAGAGGTTAATGTGATACTTCATCCCCTGAACATCAGATAGACTCTACTGCTAAACTCAAAATTTCAGAATAAAATGCATCTGTTAAAAAACTCCTTTCTGGGAAGGGCGAATCTATCGTAATCAGAAATACAACAGGGCAGTCCCAAAAAGTACCACACCGGACACCACATCCTACCGGAGTGGAGAACCACACAGAGAACTCGATATCAGGCGCAGCAATTTTTTAGACCTGCAGAGTCAAGTATATCAGATTCAGCAACAAATGCAACAACTGTTGAAACTGCACGAACGACAGCAGAAATCACAGCAACAAATGCAACAGCTGCAGAGCCAGAGACCCCTGGCAGTGCAGTGTTACAGCAACTAAGTACGCAAGGAAGGGAAGAGTCTAGCATCATGATAGCTAACATAGAGGGGCTCTTCCCAAGAAGAANGCCTCACACTCATTACTGGTCTCATGCCTCACACTCATTACTCTGTCTCTTATACACATCTAGATGTGTATAAGAGACAGTCACACGCCGGAAAAAACGACCCCCAAACGCCACATAATTCCGAGGGACAGACGGATCCTTATGAGAAAACGAGCGAGCTTGAACAACCAAATAACGGCTGCCTCCGGGAATACAGAGATGCAGAGGCTGGAACATCTGAAGGTTAAAATTATGGAAACTGAACGACAGTTGCATTTTTTAGAAATTCCAGGGGATCGGGAGCTGATGAGCATCGAGTTTGAAACGCCGGACCTAGAGAGGTGTTGTGAACGCAACATTTGCTTTAGAATAGTAGTTTAATTCCGTGGTCTTGCTGAACATTTTCGCTCATTAGTCACCTGTCGGCTGCGCAGTATAGAGCTGGAATGGATCACCGCTACCTGGCACCTGACAACTCATATAAACTTTTCGTTCGCTACGTCATCATTTTATGTAGCCTATGGCGCTGGCAAGAGAACGGTGACGTATGTGCAGATAACAAGGAAATCGAAGAGAAGCGACTCGTTCGCGATCTAGGAGTGTTGATGAACAATCAGGTAAATTTTGGTGATCACATACCGGCAATAACTGCAAAAGGTAGACGTCAGATGGGGTGGATCTGGCGGACGTTCAGAACGAGAGAAGCGGAACCAATGATCACACTCTTCAGAGCCCTTGTAATACCTATCCTTGAATACTGCCTGTCTCTTATACACATCTAGATGTGTATAAGAGACAGGCTGTTGGTGATGCCACTGAGCTGCTGTTGGTGATGGCACTGAGCTGCTGTTGGTGATGCCACTGAGCTGCTGTTGGTGATGCCACTGAGCTGCTGTTGGTGATGGCACTGAGCTGCTGTTGGTGATGNAGACATCATTCACAACATACAAGACATCATTCACAACATACAAGACATCATTCACATCATACAAGACCTGTCTCTTATACACATCTAGATGTGTATAAGAGACAGGGCAAAGGCTGCCTGCGAGGGCAAGGCAAAGGCTGCCTGCGAGGGCAAGGCAAAGGCTGCCTGTGAGGGCAAGGCAAAGGCTGCCTGCGAGGGCAAGGCAAAGGCTGCCTGCGAGGGCAAGGCAAAGGCTGCCTGCGAGGGCAAGGCAAAGATTGACTGCGAGAATTTCAACGCTGCTCATGAATTTCAACGTTGAATTACACATCTTGAATTTCAACATTTACACATGATGTGTTCTACGGAGGCACATACAAGATAACACAAACAATACACAAACCTACACAATAGGCAACAGAAAAATTAAGGCGTAAACAAACAAATAAATGTGTAGTACATCTGCATCACACAACACACAGACCTCCAGTGACAGTGCAGTGTCCTGCCAAGAGATAGTGCGGTGTATGACAGGTGTATATAATATTGACGTCACAGGTACTAAGCGTATGATATATATGCAGCTATATTTAATGAACATTATTTCAATGAATTCAATAAATATAATTATTACGCTTGTACAGGCAGTGGAATGCAAGCTACAATAGAAACAAGCAGTCAGAATAACAATAATTAATTATTGTGGTTCAAGCCATTTTTCATTATAATTTAAACCCCGTTCATTTTGCCAAACATTCACTATTGCCGTTCATTCAACAATCGCCATTGATAGTTCATACATCGATTCCTACTCGTGATTCCTACTAGTCATTCGGAGTAAAATTCCTGATCAATGTTCCTTATTTTGATAATAATTAAAGATTATCATTTAAACAAATGAGGAATAATCCTTTCCATTTCAATTTCAAGCCACTCATTACCCCCCGCGTGGACTGACCACCCATTACCCCCAGCGTGGACTGACCACTCATAACCCCCAGCGTGGACTGACCACCCATTACCCCCCGCGTGGACTGACCACTCATTACCCCCAGCGTGGACTGACCACTCATTACCCCCAGCGTGAACTGACCACTCATTACCCCCAGCGTGGACTGACCACTTAACCACTCATTACTCCCAGCGTGGACTGACCACTCATTACTCCCAGCGTGGACTGACCACTCATTACTCCCAGCGTGGACTAACCACTCATTACCCCCCGCGTGGACTGACCACTCATTACTCCCAGCGGGGACTGGCCACTCCCCACACCCCAGCGTGGACTGGCCACCCTCCCACACCCCCAGCGTGGACTGACCACTCCCCACCCCCGCGAGGACTGACCACTCATTACCCCCAGCGTGGACTGAACACTCATTACCCCCAGCGTGGACTGAACACTCATTCCCCCTTGCGAGGACTGACCACTCATTACCCCCAGCGTGGACTGACCACTCATTACCCCCAGCGTGGACTGACCACTCATTACCCCCAGCGTGGACTGGACATTACCTGCATAGACGGGGAATTAGGTATGGTCTCATCCCCTTGTTTCCAGGATATTCTCCGAGGGCGTCTTGCCCCCGAGGGGAATGACATGGCTGAGGGCAAGCCTCCCCCGACACTGGGGGAGGAGGGGGCGTTGGGGGAAGCAGAACCCGATGAGGGGAGTTTTTCCCCCAGCAGGAGGTGGTTCAGACGAGGGGAAGATTTGGCCACGATGGCTTGTCGCAGATTTTTGAGACGTTCGTCTTCATCTTCGTCTTGTTCTTGTTTGTTTTCATCGTCATCGCTGTTATCGTCTTCTGCTTTTGTGCTCTTTATGGTCTGTTTATTGTCCGTTTCGTTGTTCTTGTTGCCGGTTTCGCTGTTCTTGTTGCCAGTTTCGTTGTTCTTGATGCCAGTTTCGCTGTTTTCGTTGCCAGTTTCGTTGTTCTTGTTGCCAGTTTCGTTGTTCTTGTTGCCAGTTTCGTTGTTATTGATGCCAGTTTCGCTGTTTTCGTTGCCAGTTTCGTTGTTCTTGTTGACAATTTCATTGTTTTTGTTGTCAGTTTCGTGCTTTTCGTTGCCAGTTTCGTTGTTCTTGTTGCCAGTTTCGTTGTGTTCTTCTTTCAAGTCTGTTTCATCTATTTTCGTTACTTCGAAACTGCGATGTGAAGACAGAACGATCGTCTCTCCCGTTTCAGATTCATGTTTCGCACCTTTCTCGTTTTCAACACTTTGATTTTTTTCAATGTTTGCTGAGGAATCGGTTTGTTCCAACTCATTTTTTACGTTTTCAACTAAAGACCGACTTTCTTCGTCGGCCATCTCGCGTCGGGTAAAATTATAATAACAATTACAATAAAATACTTAATAGTGTACACAATTAAATCTACCAATACTAAAACTTTTCCCGCGAAAAAACGCAAGAATGGATAAAGTTACACACACGTATTTCTGAGTGTCACCATCACCTTTGCAATGACATTCAAGGCTAATAAAGGGAAAAGTAATAACATATATTAAACATTTTGATGTTTTTATGTGTGTAATTTTAACATCAAACTTGTGTATTATTTCTATACCATCAACCGCACTCCTGCTACACCACATTATAAAAACCACACCATCACCATTCTCACTGTCACACTACACTATCATCACTATCACACTATCACGCTACACTATCATAACTATCACGCTACACTATCATCACTATCACGCTACACTATCATCACCATCACGCTACACTATCATCACTATCAGGCTACACTATCATCACCATCACGCTACACTATCATCACTATCAGGCTACACTATCATCACCATCACGCTACACTATCATCACTATCATGCGTGTTGGCCGATTTAAGGGCGCGTGTTGGCCGATTTAGGGGCGCGTGTTGGCAGATTTCTGGACGCGTGTTGGCCGATTTAGGGGCGCGTGTTGGCCGATTTAGGGGCGCGCGTTGGCCGATTTAGGGGCGCGCGTTGGCCGATTTAGAGGCGAATATTGAAATAAATTAACAGCTCCGAGCTCCCTGATTATATCTTGGCAATATTTCATGTGTTTAAATTTAAGCGCAAGGACCTATCGCTGTTGACAAATTTGTGATAAAAGACCAAATTTTTATTTGGTAATACGAGGCTCAGAGACAAAATTGGGAAACCTTTGAACTGAGCCTGGTGCACTTCCATGAAACATTTCTTATAAACTTCTCAGACCCTAACAATGAACAGTTAGGCTTGGTTAAAAGATAGGAGCGTGTAAAAGCTTCCAAATTTAGACAGGATTCAACGAAAGTGTTATATAAAAATATTAAATAGAAAATAATATAAACAGTAGCATATTTACTAAAAACAAGACAAAATAATCCACGAATTTATGAACTTCAGCCAGGGCAAAAATGTCCTCATTTGATTCTGAATGAATAATTTCATATTGTTTATGGAATGAAGTAAATGAAATCGAATGAAAAGCTGATAATTCGAAGTCCATTTAATGCTGGTAGCGCCTTAGTTACCCTAAGAAAGTCTGTTATAGGGCACCTCCCTTCGGTTCCCGAAATCGCCTTTACCAACAACAAATTGAAGGTTAACTAATTAGCATTAATAGTAATAAATAAAGTCTAATTGTTCAAGAGCTGAAGCAATTAGTGAAGTAATAAAAATCCTATTTTCTACACACGTGCGAGTTGCTGAGAATTGTTCACCAGCCGGCGGTTTGGGCGCGATAAGAACTGATAAGAAGATAGCGACATCACACTTACAGGAGTAACCTAGGGCCTGATGACCTATATAGAGAAAACTAAAGCGTAATATTGTCAAAATGGTGACATACTTTCTTAATCACGAAAAACAAAGCATTTCGACAGCATATGTGCAATGTATTCATAGTAGATTCGAATTTAAAATATAACACAACTGTTTTTATTTTAGAAACAACATAGATATTTGAGCACAAAAGAAATTTATTATATAGATGGCGATGTTTCGTCCGTAAATGCTAGTAAAGCACAATCATTCAGTAGCGGCTTATGCAATGCCATCCAGTCGATGATTAAATGATATCGAATTTTGAACAACACTTATCTTATACTTATCTTATCACACTTTGAACTTTAGGGTCAAATGACACCTAAACTTATGGCGAACTGCGACCAGGGGCAGTAATATCAAGTACATGTATAACGGCCCAAGTAAACGTAGCGGCCCAAGTATACGTAGTGGCCTAAGTACACGTAGCGGCCTAAGTACACGTAGCGGCCTGGGTACACGTGGTGGCCTAAGTACACGTAGCGGCCTAAGTACACGTAGCGGCCTAAGTACACGTAGCGGCCAATTTCTTGTCTCTGATTGGTGCATTTACCTTGATAAATCGTCAGTGATTGGCTGAAGGAGTTACAAACTCGTAATCATTTTCCATAGTACGGCATCAGAGACACGAGAATAAACAACGAAGATCCGAAAATAAATGAAACATTTAAATAAAATCTTATGAGATAATTCTGGCATGAATCATGTCATCCTCTCGCGCAGAGACAGCGGCGCAATCTCTCTTATCTTGTGGCCTTGATAAGCCCATAACTACACAGATGTGTGGAGTGTAGTGTGTGTGGTCTTCATGTCTGAATAGTGTGTATAGTATTCATGTCTGTACTGCGTGCAGTCTTCATGTATATGTTTTCACATATATAAATTTATATATAATATATCATATATAAATCTCTCTCTTATCTTGTGGCCTTGATAAGCCCATAACTACACAGATGTGTGGAGTGTAGTGTGTGTGGTCTTCATGTCTGTATAGTGTGTATAGTATTCATGTCTGTACTGCGTGCAGTCTTCATACATGTTTTTATATATAAATTTTCGTAATATATTAACATATACTTCATTAAGATTGCAACTTAACAATGCTATTCCTACCAGAACTATAGTTTAACACTCACTGACAGTGCCAACACACGTGTAATAATATCTACCATGTTATTTCTACCTACACTGAAATTAAACCTTTGCTGTCAGCATCCTCTTATTCATAATGCTATTCCTACGGGAGTTGATTCACTAATTGACATGCGACGCATGACGCGTTCCGTAATTTGACTCATTATATGCAAGATCAACATTGTTCGTAGGTTACATTCACGTAGGTTACATCAATTAGCGTTACTAATGAATTTTATTTGTACTGAATTATACTCGTACTGAATTATACATTTATACTCGTACTGAATTATGAGTTAAATAGTTAAATCAGCCGGCGGGTATAAGTTAGTTATGAAGAAAAATCAACTTATCTATTTATTCAATATTACGTATCGTCTTTTGAGAATATTTTTAAAAGGAAATATACTAAGATTATATCGTGTACCAACTGATATATAATTTATATTTATATTAATGTACGGTATATTAAACCCCATAAAGTTTGTTAACTCAGAGAAGGTTATTCTCTACACGAGATAATCTTGTTATAACATGCAAATGTAATATTGATAGAACGCTAGCACGAAGCTCCAGCTCGGTAACAAAAATATCTTATAATTTTTCATACCAATTATATATACACCTTATCTCGTTAAGCCATGCATATCTAACCTAATTTTATGGTAAACCCTAGAGTAGAAGTAGCAACAACAAAATACATTAAATCGTTCACAGCATAAATGATATCATTCACAACATACAAGATATCATTCACAACATACAAGACATCATTCACAACATACAAGACATCATTCACAACATACAAGACATCATTCACATCATACAAGATATCATTCACATCATACAAGACATCATTCACAACATACAAGATATCATTCACATCATACAAGACATCATTACAACACAGCAATTCACCATCCAGGTATGCTAGCTGTGTTGGTGCGTATATATTAATGCGAGACCGTGAGCCGTAGCGCGGCCGTGAGGTGGATAATCAACAGTGATGATGAGGTCAGCATAGTGACCATCATTCACTATCATGAGTTCAGAGCTAGCAAATGATCAGCATTGTGATGTTCATTCACTATCATTAAAAGTTAAAACCCACACCCGAATTATATTCCAAGTTCATTGTAAATTGAACTTCGTCTGAAGTTCCAAATTCATCCCAAGTTCTAAGTTTATCGATAGTTTCTTCTAACTTGAATAACTCGTTTAATGCAAATTGTAAATCCATTTTTCGCTTCAACTTTATCTCAAGTTCCAAATTCATTACATGTCACAAGTTTAAAGCTCATTTAAAGTTCATGAACTTAAGTTCAAGGTTCAAAGTAGTTAGTTTTAGATATAAGTATGGAGTCGCTTCAACTTTATCGCAAAATCAAACTTCATTAACTGTCACAAGTTTGAAGCTCATTTAAAGTGCATGAACTTAAGTTCAAGGTTCAAAGTAGTTAGTTTTAGATATAAGTATGGAGTCGCTTCAACTTTATCGCAAAATCCAACTTCATTAACTGTCGCAAGTTTGAAGCTCATTTAAAGTTCATGAACTTAAGTTCAAGGTTCAAAGTAGTTAGTTTTAGCTGGACGTATCAAGTTGTTCTCGAGTGGCCGCTGATAACGATGTCTTCCAAGAATATCGAGGCTCTCCACATTTCCTCTCCACCGACTTCAATATTTCGAGGCCAATAACTAAATAATATCAGTAATAATATTCGCATCGTGAAATAATCAGTATACATTTTAAGTACATGTTTTTCATTTATTCACTGGAATAATATATTACTTTATTACAATTATGATCCAAATTCGATTAAAGCTTCAATCAATTAAAAATGATTGAAGATATAAGTATGACTACCGTGAAATCAAACTAAATACGTTTATTAAAACGTTTTTTTTACACTAGAAGATACCGTATAATAATAACGAACGTTAAATCAAATAAATAAGCAAATTTAATACACTTGAAGATATAACAAGAATGAACGTTATCATAATAATGAGCGCATATGATACAATATCATATATGAAACACAAACGCTAGCACGAACTAGTTGTAGTCGCAGAGAGTAGCAAGTGTGTCATGGAACTAAGCTTGGTCGTTCCAACACCTGTTGCAGCGCACAACTTTCGTTCATAGTGAACAAAAATTACGATAGTTTTCGTGTAGAAACATGAACTATCAATCTGATTGAGTTAAAGCTACCTAAACTATCCAGCCAGTACATTATGTATTCACTACCACGTGCACGAACTATATTCATACACGAAACACATGTTAAAAATATTACGTTCACAGAACTTTCGACCCCATAAAACACGCACATTGACACAGCCTCAGTCGATCACGGTGACGGACTCGTTAAAAAATTGGAACTTTCTCCTCATGGACAACGTGTATTCATACATAAATTCAGAAATTGCCAATAAATTGTATCGATCACTGGAAAAAAACCTGAATTTCGTGTCCACACAATGAAAGTTTCCCGCACAAGTGTCGGTTGCAAGCGTCCAACCAACGGACTGAGTCGGCACCCATG